ATATATATATGCATAAGCGTATAGAGCAATAGCAGAAAGAGAGAAAGAGAGAGAGAGAGAGAGAGAAAAAAAAAAACACAAAATGAGAGAGACAACAAAACAGAGAGACAGAGAAGGGAGAGAGACAGAGCGAGAGAGACAGAAAGAGAGGGAGAATAAAAAAGGAAATTCCTTCAGCTTCGTTGTGACGGTTGCTCACCCTGACGTGTCAAAGCCTCAAGGCTCTGAGACTCTGGCTGGGCTGTGGCAAGTGGTGTCATGCTTTGAGCGCAATCCCTGCAGCCCCCAACCAAAACTCACACCGCAGGCAAACGTGGTGCCACCAATGTGCCACCAATCCAAGGCACCGCTCTGTCGGCGCTTAATGGCTTCGCTTTGTGGTTGAGGCGCAACGGCGCGAGGGCTTTCAGTACGATTTCTGAAAAATCATTCCCAAACTCCCAACCCGACCCGCTGACGCTGGCCCCCAAACCCTCTTAACCAACAAATGTTCCCCAAACATCCCTTAAACCAATGCGGCGGCGGTGCCATCCTTGCAGCCGCACAACGACAGGGCCAGCAAGCCCAGCACGGTCGCCGCAGCCTTGAGAGCTGTCTTTTGAGAAACCAAAGAGCCCGAAGGGCAAGGGCTCGCAGTGAAAGAATGCCATCACCACACAGAACTCTTACTAATTTTAATCGGATTCCAAACAATTTGCCAAGGGTTCCATGAATTTCAAAAGGATTCCTAGTATTGTTAATAGGATTCCTGTGAACTTAATAATAGGGATTCCTATGCGTTTTTAGTTTTATAGGAATAGGAAAACCTGTTATAATCTCGTCCAGGGTCGCTTGTTTTGGCCGAGCAAAACAGACACTCCGGCGCTTTTTTTGTTCAGGACGCGGCTGGTCGAGCAAAAAAGGGAAAAGAAGAAGAGCTGGCCGAGCAAAAACAAACACACTTTTCTTCTCGTCGCTGACTCTTTTGGATGGACGGATTTGTGGCCGGGGGGGGGGGGGGGGTGGGGCGGGGGCGGGGTGGGGGCTGGGTGGGGGCTGGGTGGGGGCGGGGTGGGGGCGGGGTGGGGGCAGGGGGGAGAGCGACACTATGCATGAGATCATGTTTTCAGTTGCAAGTCACTTGAAACTTAAAAAAAAGTCCACGTGCACTGGCAACGCAGGAAACTTGAGCTTCTTGACTATGCCGCATGAAGATCTGATTCTCGAAGATGAAAAACATGTACTTTCACGAAGCATCTCAAGCCCCAAATCTGAGCCAGGGGCTAAGGGAATAAATGTTCAGTCCCGGACTCAAGATTCAAGATGTTCTGGGTGTTTTTTCCGAAGCACCTTGAATGCTGAGTCTTTTCAGTCTCGGATACCGGACCGAATACCGGATTCAAGATGCCCCGGAAGGGAAGAAAACACCTGAAAATTCGGGACTGAAGTTTCAGTCTCTCAGTCCCTGGCTCAGTGCCGGATCCAAGATTCAGGACTCAAGATGTTTGGCTCGGGAATAAGCTGAATAACATGGGTAAGGACCGGCAGGAACTCAAGAGCCCTAGCTAAGTTTCCCACAAGCATCCCTGACTTGGATCTGGTTCTTCCTGGGCTCGAAGCTTGTAGCAAGTCGCCGCAAGTCCAAGGATGCAGCTTTGGTTCTAAGATGTTCAACCGCGTCCGGAACAAAAACAAAAAAACGCGCCCCTGGACGAAGGTCCACACGACCCGCAAGTGAGTGAGTGTCGGGGGGGGGGTCCCGAAAAAAACAGAACAGCGCCCGGAGCGTTTCGTTTTGGACTCGGCCAGCCGCGTCCCTAACAAAAAAAGAAAATGCACCCCCCGACGAGATCATAACAGGTTTCCTGTAAAACTAAAAAATCATAGGATTCCATAGGAATCCTATTGAAAATACTAGGAATCCTGTTGAAATTAATAGAATCCTTAGCAAAACTATTTTGGAATCGCATTAAAATTAGTAAGAACTCTTTCAAAACTAATAATAGAAATCCTATTAACTTTTGTCAGAAACCTTTTAAGATTTGTAGGAATCCTCTAACAATTAACAAGAACCCGCCAAAATACATTTGAGAGGAATCCTTTTCCTTTTCCGTTTTTGCTCGGCCAGCCGGGTCCCGAAAACAAAAAATCACACACACCCGGAGACTCGGCCACCCGCGTCCCGACTAAAGCAAAGGCGCGCCCCTGGACGAGATTATAACAGGCTTTCCTATAAAACTAAAAACTCATAGGAATCCTATTGAAATTCACAGGAACCCTATGAAAAACACTCGGAATCCTATTGAAATTCATAGAATCCTTAGCAAGATTCTTTGGAGTCCTTTTTTAAAATTAAAAAGTAGCTGGAATCCTATGAACATAGGGGAAAAAAACAAATCCATGGACCAAATCCTATGAATATATGGACCTGAGTAAAACCCAAGAAAATCGACAAAAACAAAGAAACACACCCCAATAAAAGATCAAAGCAAAAACTCCACACGTCCACTGCATCGGTTCAGGATCAAGTCCTTCGGAAGGTGTTCGTATGGAAATGTAGAGGAAATATCTATTTTTTCTCTGACAACTTCGATAAATAGAGTTTTGACTATTACAATAGAGAAAATTCAGTTTTACGCTGAGAATATCGAGACAATAGAAGGTTCTGCTTCTGAAAATATCAATATGGAGTAAAGCATGAAGAAAATCGAGGCTGCCCCTAGTGTCTTGTTCTTTGCTGGGCCGGCCGTGCACCTTGTTCTTTAAAAACATTGTTGTTTTTGGAACAGTACAGCATTTTGGAGGCCTGGGACTGCAAAAACGCTGTACTGTCCCCCAAAAAACCCATCTTTTGAGCAAAAACAAGCAAAAAAATGCTGTACTGTCACAAAACCCACCCAATTAAACCATCTCAGTAACCGCTTGGGGGGATGAATATCGAATCAGACAGCGCAACCCTGTCGGTTCACTTCGTTTGACAGACGCCAGGATGCTCTTTAACTGCAAGCCATGTTGTTGGTAATTCAACGACCAGTAGAGTTGGCCCCTAGTTCCAAAAAGCTAGCCCCTGATTGTGAGGAGTCCTTCATTCTCTTCCAATATTCCCGGCCGTTCAAGTTTAAACTTGAGGGAATGAATATCTAACTGGTAAGACTGCAACCCTGCAAGTCCACTTGGCTCAATGGATGAGATCATGTTTTTCAGTTGCAAGCCATTTCGTACTTAAACTCAGCGAACAGTATAGCCAGATCTAAAGATAACCATTCGAAACCAGACGCTGGGCTTCGAGTTTTTAGTGCCTAGGACTGCCAAGTTTTTGCCTAGGGTTTCTAAGGGCTTTAAGCGCTGGGTGTTAGGGTTGGTTTAGGGGTAGGGTGGGGAGGGGGGGGTGTACCCTGGTAATCTATCCTGTTTGGTGTCTATGCTTGCTTTGTTCTACAGATGCTGTGACGAAGCGTGGTTTTGTCTGCAAACAACATCCAAAGGGGGCAGATTAAATCCAATCCCCATCCTCCGTGCGCGAAGCTACTTCTCAATATGGTTCGTCTTTTTGCATCGAATATTCACCTGTTGCAGCCCTACAGCCTCAACCCTCAGATTATCAAAACCCTATACAACCCTCTGAACCCTCCAACACCTAGACCCATACAAGAAGCCAAAAACAGGCAGATAACTTGAGGGCGGGGGGAGAGGGTTACCAAAAGTGTAAGTGTGTCTGTGTGTGTGTGTGTTTCTACATATATTATCTCTGCACATACACATTTTTCCACATGGAAGGAAAGACATGGCCAGAGACAGCAGGCAAGCCGAAGACAAGAACGAGCAGGTGAGAGAGCATGGATCTCCGAGCAGCGAGAGGAAGGCTTGAGTCCCACGAGTCCCACGAGTCCCAGGACTGAGGCCGAGTCCTGAGTCCTCATCGCTCCGGGCACTCCACTCGAGCGAAATCTCCTTTGCTCGCCGTGGCTCATGTGGAACCCTACAGTAGTGGGCCCCTAAAGCAACAGCCCACTTAACGGGCCCTTAACAGCTGCAAAGGGTAAGAGGGTCTCTTGGTCTTCTCACAGTTGGAACAGTCCTTCACGGTTCCCAAACGGTCAAAAACTAGACCTGGGACTTTGCAAATCTTTGCATTCGCACAGCAAGAAACATTGATTGGATTTGCAGACTCACATGTCCTGGCAACATATCCTTTCAGGCAGGGGGCCTTCGAGAACGCACGGGAATTGCGAAGGCACCAATATAATCCCTTAAGCCAGCAGGCAGCGGAGGTGTTACACACTCACTCACGCACATGTCGTCGGCTTAACCCCGAAGGCAAACTTTACACGTGCGGTTGCGGGCTTTTGCTTCAAGGGTGGGCCGGCAGGTGCCGAGTCGTGGGTTTCAGAATCCTTCTCTGCTTCAAGCCCAGATCCACCTCAAGACCGGCGATGCCCTCCCTGAACGCCTCTCAGCCGCCAACACCCGTTTCAGGGCGAGCAAAACCAAGAGCCAATGGACTGCTATGGACCGACTTGCTTAAACATTTCAAGATCACCGAACTCAAACCAACCATGGCTGCGTAGAGGCGATCTGTACGAGACACTACCCATCGCAGAAGAGGCCTGTGGAAGTTGTCAAGGGACGAAAGGAACCGAGCGTTGCAGTGTTGCATCTTGGAGGCCGTCCCCGACTCAGCCCATTCGATGAGCACGCTTTTGCCCGGCCGTGGGAAATGCGGCGGACTGGTGAAACTTACGCATTGCTCTACAAGCCTGTTAGGCCTGCAAGGCCTAGGGTGTGCTTGCAGGGCTTCAAGGGGTATTCCAAGAAGACAGTTACCGTCAAAAACGCATGGTGGATCATGCTGGCTTCAGCTTCCATCCTAGCATCTAAGACTCAGGACGTCGACTTAGGCCTTTAGTGGCTTTAGGCATGGCTAGCAAAGGGCTTACTTCGACTCAATTTTTTGGACCTACTCTAGCACCCTCCTTGACCCTCCTTGACAACTGACTCTTGCGAACCCGTCTACATCCTCTTCACTGCACGCTTCGGAGGCCTGCATTCAAGGGAAGACTGAGTGGCATACTGCACAATACTATACCATACGAAATACGATACCTTACCATACCATACTATACCATACTATACCACCAGACTATACCATGCTATACCATACGATACCATACACGTACGATACCATACTCTACCATACTTTACCATACGATACCATACTATACGACCGGCATTTATCCCGCGGCATATAACCCCTCATGACAGTATCCTGACTGCTCGACCTCGATCCGCGGTTTCCGAGAAGCACAAGGCCGGGAAGTGACTGTGACGATCTGGATCTGAGCTCGCGGCTGCGTGAAAGCTTCGGTGCGTAGGCCTTGATACCAGTAGCAGATCCCACAGCTTAGGACTCACAAGCTCTAGGCATGCTAGGCCTGCCGAAGTTGTGTCTTGCTCTGTTGAAGGAGGACTGCAGTGAAAGCCAATGAAGGGTTGGCTGTTTCATTGTCAACCTGCACGTGGCAAAGAGGATTTCGCCAGAAAGCCAAACTCAACCGCTCTCCCGTCTTCTCGGGTCAAGGCGGCGGCCAAATACCTTAGCGCCGCTGTTTGCAAGCTGCCGATGCACAGGGCCTCAGAACAAGGGAGGGGTTTGCAGGATGCACTTTTACTCATTCTACTCCTCATTCTACTCCTACTGTCAAGACTCCTTAAAGGGGGTCGTAGCAACTCTCAAGGGTTCTTGTGGCGCAAGCGAACGGCGAAGCTCGCAGCCCCGACAGCTGAAAGCTGAGAGAGCATGGCTTTCTTCGGATCCTTTGTGTTCATGCCCGGTTTGCTTCAAGGATTTGCAAACTGTTTGAAGTGGTCTACGCTAGTGACAAGGTTTGTTATATCTTAACCCTGTTGCTTTTCACGTAAATCCTAATCCTTTCCTCCCGCCAACATCCAGAAGTTCACAGCTTCCTAGTTCCTGGGGTCACGTCATGTCATTTTGCAATGATTTCAGGTGCTCAGTGATGTCTGCCATGTCATCGATTTCTCTTGTTCGAGGTCTTGCTTGGAGCATCAAAGTAATAGCTGGCACAGACGCCTTGGCCAGACTCGAAGCTCGGGCCAGGAATTTCGAGGCATTCGAGAGAAGCCCGCCCTAAACTCAGCCCGTGCTCACGTAAAAAAATGTCTCCGAAGACCTGAAGCATCGCAGCTCAACCCCGCAGCAAACCCAAAAGTTTGGGCTGCGGGCACCAAGGCCCAAGGCGGCCACAAGCAACAGCACCTGATCGTCCACCTTGGCTCCAAGACGCAGAAGTTTCTCGGGGGATGAGATCAGCATCTGTCACCGTCGGTCACCGTTGCAAGCTTAGTTTTTGAAGGCCGTAAGCTCTCGGTGCTGCTCTTGCAGCTTAGTGATGGGTTCCGTCAGCGCCGGCATCCTTCCAGTGGCTCTAAATTGACGGTTAACTCTACGGACTTTGGGACGGAGTCACAGAGAAAATATGGCTAGAGCTGTCCTCAGGATCGCAGACATGTCGTCCCTACGGCAACACTGACACATTCTGACACGTAGAACCAATCAAAGGTGGATTCGTTCTGATGCACGTGCTGAGCCCCCGTACATGTCGTTCCAGGGTGAACCCGACGAAAGCGGCCAGAACGTTAGCCTTGAGTAAAGGCAGGCATTCCCCCACGCCCACGAATCATTTGCCCCAAGCCCATGCCCAAAAAGCTCCCACCAAGCCCCCACCAAGCCCCCACCAAGCCCCCACCAAGCCCCCACCAAGCCGCCACAAGCCCACAAGCCCAAGCCCCAACAAGCCCCCAAGCCCAACAAGCCCGAGCACAACAACGAGCCCGAGCCACGAGCCCGAGCCCAACAACGAGCGCAACAACGAGCCCGAGCCCGAGCCCGAGCCCGAGCCCGAGCCCGAGCCCGAGCCCGAGCCCGAGCCCGAGCCCGAGCCCGAGCCCGAGCCCGAGCCCGAGCCCGAGCCCGAGCCCGAGCCCGAGCCAAAAGCCATGCCGCGGCAGACATCAGTCTCCATAAGGAATTCCTTCGGGGTAGACTGTAGGCCCCACTCTTGGACGCCACAGACGCGGCACTCCCGAAGCATCAAAGCAACGATACAAGCAGAGAACAAGCGCTTGCAGACACCAGCGCTTGAGGAAGACAACTTCTCCGTGCTGAGGCTCAGGCTGCCAGGAGTCCACAGAGGGAGCCCGGTAGGTTCGAGCCTTGTGCTCGGCACATCCGAACCCCACCAAAACTGCAGAGGAAAAAGAACAGTACTGATAGAGAGAGTTTCGGAAAGCCTTGCCCTGCGATACTTCCGGGTTCATTGGGGTGGCATTTCGAGCGGCGGGGCTGCGGACGCAGTCACGAGCCACAAGGATCTAAGGACCCGATTTGGCGCGACAATTGTGAGCCAATCAAAAGCCTTGGGGAGAAAGGAGTCGTGCCGAGCTGCGGGGAACTTCCAGCTCGAAGCCTCCAAAGGCATCTGTTGGGCGTTGCATGGTGTTGTTGTGCAAGTTTGGGGAACCAGATGCTAATCAGATGCCCCTATTGCGCTCGAGATTGCCTTGGCTGCCCGTCTCCAACAGGAAGATGACACTGAAAGGCCTTGGTTGAGAGTTCGAGTTGTGGTTTCGGCTGTCGGCCTAGAAGTAGACGGGCCGAGTTTAGAGAGGCCGCCACACTAGGAAAGCCAGCAGCATGCTCGCCACCCCGGGCGCCTTTCAGCACAACACGTATTCGCAGCTACAAGGCAACTGCACTGCGAGGCAAGCTTCGTGATAGAGATATGAAAACAACGTCTGCGGCGGCTGGAGAAATCACGTCGGAAGCTAATCTCCTCGAACAGTGGGCACACTTAGCAAGGCATGACAGGATTCTCGAAAACCATCCACATATGTAAGACGCCGACCTCTGCCTTCGCCTTCGACTGTCAACCTAACCCTGCGATCGCTCAAGGAGCGTCGTCAGCGAGCCTTCGCCATCCGCGACTGCTCCCACACTAGGCCTCCAAAAACATTGAAGCTTTAAAGCCACTTGGGAATGAGGGACTTGAGACGCAAGCTGGTGACTAGGTCTAGTTGCGCTATGCGTAAATAAGCCGAAGTATCAGGTCATGAGCCCAACCGCTGCCAATGGGTCTGGTTTGCTTGGTTTGCTTGAAGGCGAGGTGGAGGGACCATCGTATGGCGCCGGCGGCGGTGCCAATTGAGCGCTCAAGGACAGCCCCCCTTCTGGCTGGCGTTCCTCCGCCCTAGTCGATCATTGTGGAGGGTCTGCTTGGCACACTGCACTACAGCGTGCCAAGCCACTGGGACAACGCAAGCCACACGGGTCGCATTTCGCCGGATGACACAAAACGGAGGGGATTTCGGTGATAGGGCTGATAGGGCCAGGGTGGGGAGGTTGGGTTTGAGACCGTCCCAGGAGGCACCTCAAACTTCCGTGGGGCTCGAACCATCCTTTAGCCCAGCCACGAAGCTCCTCGACTCAAGTCCAAGGATCACGGGCGCCTCCTGCTTCTTCGGAAAGTCCGTGGCTGTGCAGGATTGGTCGGAGCCAGAACCCCGCCGAAGTCAGAAACCACACCAGCCTTGGATCAGGCCCCAACGCGGATGCCCGGGCCATGCCCCCTCAGGCCAGGCAGGCTCCGCGTGCTCTTTGCAGGAGCAGTACAACCCGGTGCGAATGCAACCTTGGCCGTCGGCGAGACAGCTCAGATGGCTTCGTTGGAGTCCAGAACAGCAGAAAGTCTGGAAGCACTGGAAGCACTGGAAGCACGGCTCTCGTTGAGCGAGCTTTCTGCTGCTTTCTTCGAAGGTACGAGTACATGTGGTACATGTCGCTTTGACACTCGAGCCGAGTTGGCCGCTTCTGGTTCGAGTCTGCCGAGTTCCGCGGGAATTGGATGCGAAATCGTTTGGAAGAACGGATTTCAAGAGTTTCAAGTTGCACATCCGGTGGGCGGGGGGGGGGGGGGCTGTTTTGAACAAAGAGTCGGGGGGGGGGGGGGGGGGGGGGGGGCGGTTTCGGGGGCAGGTTGTCCGGAGCGGACGAGAAGCACGAGAAGTGTGCCTAATGGGAGTGCCTAATGGGGGGAGCAAAGGCCGCTTGATCCGCGAGGGAGCGCCGTGAAGGGAACGTTCTCCTTGCTACGGGTGTGCCTATTGTCCAATTCGCACTGGAACGGAGCCACCCACCCAGTCTCATTTAACGTCTCCTCCACCGGATGACCAGCCAAAGATGCATCACTGTTGGAGTTGGAACCTGATCCTCTTGAAGCTGGCGAGGACAGGAAGGCCTTGAGATATCGGAAGAGCACGCCGAAGTCAGGGATGAAGTAGGAGGAGCTGACGAAGGATATTGAGCGTGAAAGGCTTTTTCTGCCAAGAAGCTCTGCTAGCTGCTCAAGAAATCAGATTGATGCCAAGACTGGAAGGCCTGCAGCTGGAAGCAATTCACACTGATCGAGCACGCTAATTTGGTTGCCATGCGTGGAGACGAGGACTGCAGAGGTTGGAGTTGCACATACGAAGAAATCGGGCTGGCAGCGGGCATTGCCACAGGTGAGGCAGCTGCAAAGTGAGGCAGAAGCAACGCGCAAGGGCACTGACAGCTGCGCCAAACAATCAGAATGGCCAATGGCAATGCTGCATGCTGCTACCAAGTTTTGGCGTGAAAGACTACATCCAGAGATACCACCAAGACCAAATTGGTTTGGTATGCAGGTACGGCTACATTGGAAGCGACGGAAGGAAAGGAGACCTCAGTGGAGGAAGGCAGTTTATGGAGGCCCGAGAAGCGGTGGATGCCAAGATACGCCGATACAGAAAATACTCCGACACAGAAATACACCGATACACCGACACGCCGATACCGACAGGGTGGCGGGGAGGGGGGGGGGTGGTGGGGAGGGATTCAAGTGCATGGCACGCAGAAAAAGGTTCATTCGCACAAAACCAACAACCCAAACCGTCCCCAAATGACGAGGGTGCCTGTCACGGAGTCCCCCCCCGAACAGGAAGCTACGGCTCTCCGCTGGCTCTCTCGGCGGCTAGCTTTCGTGACGTGGGATGCGGTGCTTTCCATGAACCCCCGTTTCACTTTGAAGAGCAAGGCCCCATGAGGAGTCAGAGTCGCCGGCAAGTGTGGTGAGAAGCTCTTGGACCCAATTTCACGTGCCGAGCGTCTTTGAAAGAGTGCCCCCTAAGCCTTTTCCCATTCCCTGGCGATGCTCTTCACGTGGAGCACTCCCAGCCCTTCAACAGTACTTCTGCTTCACTCTACTTGAAGTCTACACGCGAGGGCCTGCCAAGAGGGGCTGCTGCTCCAAAGCCTCCGACTTGACATAGGCGGCCGGGTTGTAGGCCTGGAGTTCTTGGCGTCTTGCGGCCCCCGATGTACTATACTTCCAGTGCAGGGCGTACGATTTCCTGGAGGGGCTCTGGGGGTTGAAGCTGAGAACATCCCCAGCATCCCCAAACTGCCTGGAAGCTGCCAAGGAAAGAGCCACCGCACCGAGCCGGTGGGGCGCCCGACCTGTTCCCCAGCCTATTGAAGTCTTAAGTCAGGGCTCTTGAGGGCTTTAAAGTCTTCTTCGGGGAAGAAATCGAGGATGGGAATGTGCGAGGCTAGACCTCCCCTGGCCTTAAGCCTAGCAGCCTTTCCCCTTGCACTGGACGAGGCCTGTCTGACACGGCCCCGGGCTCTGGATCACCTTGCCCAGATTCGTGGGCTGAAGTTGACTGGAAGCAACTGAAGCAACAAATCAGCGTTCAAGGAGTCGAAGCTTTAGACACGATTGACACGGGCGCGCAGCGCCCTCCACAAGAATCTCCGCCTTTTCGGAGGCTCTGCTCGTGTCCGCATCGCTCAACACACCCTCCGCACCCTCGGTTTTCCCGGCCTCGCGCAGCCGCCCAGTGCAAATACGCCAGGACCTCACTAAGTGCAAACTTCAGTTTTTCGTTCCACTCCAAAGTTTTAAGGGGTACTTTTTAAAGGGTTTGAGGGTTCGGGCTGTTGGCACTTCTGGCTGGAAGCACGCTTCGTTTTGTAAGTTTTTTCATTCGCTGATCTTCCGAGGCTTCTTCGGATCATGATGCTTGGTTGCATTTTCTCTCTTCGAAACACCCTGACCGCTTTGATCATAGCTTTTCTTCCTAGCATCTCTTTGCAGCTTCTTATGAATCCAAGTTAGAGCAAACAACAAGAAATTGAGAGTTGCTTTTCCAAATGGTCGCTTTTCCAAATGGTCGGCAGCGTGCAAAAACTTCATGTGAACAGTATAATCCCATTTTTGCAAGCATGAGATGCTGGCTTCCTTGGCGCTCCGTTGCTTCAGCGAGATTCGACATGAGGGCATCATACCGTATCATACCAATCCCAATCCCGGGGAGGCTTCGGGACTTGAGCTCTCCAACAGCAGCTCTGCAGTAAACCCTTGGGCAGCCTTGGGCACATGAAGGAGTTCAAGCAAACAGGGCCCTTGGGGCCAAAACACACCGCAGCTTGGGGCTTGGGATTCCAGTGGCAAAGCGTGCAAAGCCAAAGCTCTGAGGCGGCGGGCGGAGAGCACAGCAAGAACCGAGGCAGCGAGCAAGGGCGGCAGCAGCTCGCCTGCTTTGGCAGAAAGGGGCCAAAGCAGGGTGCTTGGCATCTGAAAGAGAATTAACAAAGGTGGGAAATTTTGTCTCTCTGGAAGGGTGAAGGGTGAGAAAAAGCGTTGGACACAAAGGGCACTGCCATGAAAGCGCGCGCCTGCGACCACAAAGACCCGAAGGCCCAGGCTCCGCAGCAGAACTCGGAGCAGCAGCGCCTCAGAGCGTTCAGAGCATTCAAAGCATTCAGAACTTCGGAGCGAAACTCTTGGCGCCAACCGTAAAAAGCAGAGCCCAGTTCATGACTCTATATAGGGTATTGTAGGATGTAGGATCCTTTCAAGGGCTCTGGAAAGCTCGGGCCTGTGTGGCAACTTCAACTGCACAGGCCCCGACGGACGTACTGCCCAGGACCACCTGACCGCAGCTGTCAGATCGGGAATCCAAGATCAGAGGCGGTTGCAACGTTACATGCCCCGCATGTTGCAGCTCTACTCAAAGCCCAGACCCGAAGACCGAAACAGCTTCAAGCCGCCCACGCCCACAAGCATGTAGGGTGCTGCGCCGCTGAAAGCTTGGGGCTGGGTGGGGGCAAAGAGGCACCAGCACGTACTCGGTGGGGGTCTTGAGCGAGCGCCTCGGAGAGTAAGGGTTTTTTGTGGTCCAGAGGCCCCCACAGCAAGCAAGAGCAGAGCGGCAACGAACTGTTGCGCTACATTTTGGATTAAAACACCCGAAGCCGAGGTGTCTGAGGTGCCGGCACACCGCGCCAGGGGCAGAAGATCGCGAGAATCACCTCAGGCTCAAGCATCCCAATCCTGAATTCACAGCTCTGTAACTTTGTGTAACAACTCTTGTGGGACTCGGGAATCGGGGCGCTGTAAACTCTAAATTCCCAGCTTCACGCCCTCCCATAGGCCCAAATCTTCGAAAACTGTGTGGCCCGCCGCCACGAAGAAGCTTGCATCGCCCACCTCGGCCAGAAAGGCCAACCTGGCTCAGGGCTTCAACAGTACGGCGGCTCTTAATTTTGATCAGCCTTTTTACGGGCCCCGCATGTTGGGCTGCCACAGACCTTCCCAAACTCCAAAAGGCGCACAGCCTCTCAAAGCCTTACGAAACCCGTCTCAAGCACCCAGAAGGAGTTCACGAAAGAACCCCCGAACGAACACTCCGTTAGCTCACAACTCACACTCCGTTAACTCACACTCCGTTAACTCACACTCTGCTCACCCAGCTGCTTGGAGGAGGCCCACTGCCTCGGCGAACGACACTGCCAGGGAGGAGACGGAGGTCTTCCGGCTGTTTGGCACTGTGACACACAGCTCCGAGGCGCCCATAACCGTACCAATGGACCAAGCCCTGAGAGGCAACCGCCTGAGCCCAGGGCCATTCAAGGGGTCGGCATACACGTGGCACGGCCTTGAGCCTGGCGGTGTGGAATCGGTTCTGGTAAGCCTCTGGTAAGCCTCTGGTGACTCTGTGGCGACCCTGCAATCCTATATCTCCACATACATGCTTCTGCTCGCGCCTTTCTGAAACGAAAAGCAGGGCTGCCTGCCAGCTGGGGCACGCTGGGCGGGACCTGCAAACGGTGGGTTCAAAGGCTTCATTGCTTCATGCCCTCATACGCTCGACACTCTCAACCCTCAGCCTGAGCCCTAAGCCCTAAACTCCACCAAAAGCCCTGAACTGCAAACGCCCCCCCCCCCCCCCCCCCCCGGCCAGCGGCCAAAGGGGCCTCTCCAGGAGAAGGCTTCCCAACTGTGCCCGGCTTCGATCGGTGCTGAGGCTGCGAGCCACCAGGGGCAGGGAGTTAAGAGAGGTGCTCAGCCCTGCTAGGGCTGCGAGGGAGCGAATCTTGCCGCGTGTACTGGTGCACCTGAAGAACCAGCAGCATGAATGCTGCAGAATTGCAAAGGTCCGCCAAGTCTGCCTGCCGAAGCTCCTAACTCCAGCATAGGAAACCCCTTCAGCTCCCAGGTTTACTCCGATGTAGACCAGGTCAGGGACCTTTTTGACTCGTAGTGTCGTTGCCCACATGCGCCAGGTATTCCCTGCTGAGTGTGGCACGCGAGCTCTGACAATGGATGCCTAAACCTAGTCCGACGATCTGAGGGGGCACGGCACGCCCGACAGAGCATCAGCAAATTAATCTACGCACGACGAGTGGCACGACGAGAACTTGAAAACGCGAACGACCGTCAACATAAGCACACCATGCAAGCCGCGTATCCCGAACTCACATGCAAGAAGGGATCCATGATCCAAAGAAGAACTGGCGCAACTCCATTTGAAGTGGTCCCTCTGCTCTGCATTCTATTGGGTGACCCCGATAAACGGTCCATCCACCAACGTCAGGGCTCGCAAGACGCTGCACCGAGAAGGCTTCCCAGGAGTTGGGCCCTGGGACCACTGGAACCATTCCGATGCAATGTGAGCAGGTGTTAACAGACCGAGTCCATCGCTTTTTAGCTGCAAAGCTTATTGAGGATTTTTGGGCTTTTGACCTGCGGCAATGAGCATTTGGGCTTCTGGGGGGGCGTCTGTCTTTCGCGCACTTTGGGGCGGGAAAGCATTTGGCTGAGCGTGCCAGTTCTGAAAGGAAGCTCGGGCGGCGGTCCCATGCCGCTCTCCCGGGGCGGCTTCGCGGCGGGGGTTTCGCGGCGGGCTTCGCCCCCTCCCCCCCTACAAAACTCTGAACCCCTAAAACAGGGTTCCTCCTGTACAGTCGTAAGCTGGTGCCGATGTCCACATCTGCTAAGCCCTCAACCCCCGTTCCCCGCAACCTTCTACCATGCCCCATTGTCGGCTGAGGCTCCAGTCACCAAAAGCCGTCGGGTTAGAGATTGCATTTCCGGCTTTTGCGTGAAGCTGGGGGGGCTTTCGGATTTTCCAGGAGAGGAACAATCGATCTAGCAATTTGTTGAACCAAGAGAATGAAACATGTATCTGGCCGAGACTTCGGGGTTCTTTCTGTCCAGTGGGCTTTTTGACATTCCTGTATACAAGCTTCAGGGGACGTAAAGAAGCTCAAGCTGAAAGGGATTCCCAAAAGCCCCAAGAGCCACGTCTACTGTAGCGTCTCAGCACCTGAGCCCCAGCAAGAGTCCCGGTCGGGACCCTTACTTCCCAAACTTCTCGTCGTTCGTCTTGCCCTCCTCCTCAGCTCAGAGCTCACCCGGAACTTTCAGTGGCCTTGGGACCTGCATTGACACATATTCACACCATCACCACACCACAAACAGATGTTCAGATGTTCCTCGGCCATCCCTACATCCTGAACACGCGAAACAAGGTTAGAGTGCCGAGGTGTGCCAGAAGAGGGCGATGAAACGGTTCGGACATTTGGGGGGGTACAAGCAGCCAGCAATGAAAAGCACTCTCTCTAGCCTTTCACTTTGTAGCCTCTAGGTAGCTACCGTGAACTTGCCTTTGAAGACCTTTGCTTGGAGGGACCCTGCCCAGACAGGTTTGCCGGCCTATTTTTTGTCCATGCCTCACTGTTGAATTCAGGCGGGACGGGTGGGCACCACTAGGCGAGAGAATCTTCAAGAGACCGCCGCGCCTCTTAACACAAACTCGCGCTAGAGGAGAGTGACAGAAAGTCAAAGGACTGTCGGCAAGCAGAAGGTGGATTGGGGGCTTGTATGGTCTTGTGTTCCTGTGTTCCTGTGTTCCTTGGGCTCAAGATCTTGAACTTCGACCCTGAGCGCAAAAAACAGGGTTACCAAGCCCAAGAACGAATTCGAACAAACGTGGACGAGCCTTGAACCACCAGCTGTATAACTGTGCAGCCCTCCAAATCTCTCTTCACAGGTTTGGGTATGGCTCGGAGGCTGCCAAGGGGGTCTTGGGGTGCCAAGGCGCGAGATTTTCTCCCACCACCGGCGCTGGGGTGCGCTTGCTGCTCAGCAGAGGGTCGCAGCTGTCCCGGCAGCGAATCTCGGGGGGGGAGGGGAGAGGGGGGGGGGTTAGGTAGGCATTCCGGGGTTTGGGGATGTTGGCTGGGCTGTACTGCTGAGTTATGCTGTTGCACTGGGACAAACAAGCTTCGTTTCGATTCAGAGAGAAATGAAGCGCACCAAGCAGCCAAGCCCATAAAGAGGAGTGCCAAAATCGGGAGGACGACCTCACGAGGTCACCGAAAGCTTGCCACTCCACCGCAACAAGGGAAAATAAGGGAAAGTAAGCGACTGAGAGGCCGAGCAGAGAGCACTCGGCTGGGGGAGTGCCGGGTTATGGAGAAAGCTCCGGGCTGACAACTGAGTGCCTATGAGGCATGAATCGTTGGGACCTAGGGGGTTTTTTGTGCCTCGCTGATACAAAGGCGCAGCATGGACAGAAGTTGGAATCCCAGGATTTGTCAAGCTGTTCCTCCGTTCTGGTTGCAGCATTGGTACCGAAAGCTGTTAAGAGCCAATGCTGGGGAAGCAGTGGCAAGTTGCCTTGTGCCTTGACTGTCAAATCACCGTCCGCGATCACGCCACAGGAGATCTCCATCGACCAAAGCTCTTCTTGCCTGATACCTAATCGCCTTGCAAAGCGTCCAGAAATTGCAGATTCAGTGTTCGAGCCAGGCCTAGGCGGGGGACCATGCTATCCAGGTCCGTTGTACAAAAAAACACACGTGATATCTATCCGTTAACCTGTACTGTATAGCTACGTAGAAGTGAACTCTCTGTCCAGGGATGTTTTGGCTGCAGTGCCCTGCTGTCCAGCTACCAGGAGCCCAAGAGTGATCACAGTGGGGATCAACGGCTCGTTCCAGTCCCAGGCATCGTAGATGGGGCACTCCTGACAGGTCGGTGCCTCTTCCTTACCATGCATGGTTAGTCTAGACAGTCTAGAGTTTTTTGAAAGGGTCATGGGTTTGAGGGATGTTCAGAATTCGCAGCCCGAGCTTTGCAAACAATACAGCTCTGTCGGTGAGGGGTGCCAGGCCCTGCGGCCACGGACACAGAGCTTAGGGACATACAGTAGGAGTCTGACAAGCAGCGTTCATGGTTGCTCTTGCACCCCGCTCCTGGGGCAAAGTATAGTTGTCACAGCTCACCTTGCCAATCTGTGCGACGTAGTGGATGATCGTCCACAGCACATAGGTGAGCCCAAACAGCCTGAAATTGAGTTGAAGTGAGCCCTCAGCACGAACACCCTGTGACGTTGTGATGTTGTGATGTTGGCCCTGAGGCCCGCGATTTTACAGATTCAGATGGGGGGTAACCTTGGCTCTTTCATAACCTAGCATCATCTTGACCTGAATCATCCTGAATGTCTTCTCACGCGAGGTAGGGCAGCTTGGGCAGCTGGAGGTGGCTCGTGTGTACTGGGAGGAGGCACACTCATGCCGTGGAGTACCCGTTGAGTACCCAAGCAACATCACCCAGCCAACTCGGAAGATGGAGTATGGGAGGCGGCTGATGAGCAGACCTTGCGGAAGCTTCTGCCATGTTCTGCCCACGTTCCGAGTCTCCCAAGAACCCTTGCTTGTCCCTTAACCCCCCATCCGTTCGACCCCTATGCTACATTGGGATTGCGGGCCATGTTCTGATATTCTGGAGGCACAGACATGTGCTTGCGATGCCCACACGGATCTGCTTACAAATCCACAGAAGAGCAGCGGCAGAGATCACAGTAGCAGGCCCCCGAAGCTTCGGCTCCCCAAGCCACCCCAAACCCGGTCATACCCCAAACATCTGATCGTAGGCAGGGAGCAAAGTGAGCAAAAGCCCGGGGAAAGACTCACAACCCTCACGCACACGAGCAGTCAAGCGGTGTCTGCTACTTGAGGGCTTTGAAGGCACTCTCTTGGACTTTTTGTTGGTCTCCGAGTTCCGATTCACTTTGCCAAGCTTCCGAAGAGAAGCAGCAGGAAGTTCCTGGGCAGCTCTCTCTCTGCCCCGAGAGCCCTAAGACAAAACCGGAGACTGTGAAGGGCAGTGGCCTGAGTTGCTGTGCTAAGCCCTGCAAAAAACATCATGCGAAGCATGCCAACCATCCTCAGCTCAGCCTGGTGCTTGGGCCCCACGTGTCCCAGAAACCTCTCCCTGCACCCCTCAATGGCTAAAGAAGCCCAGACACAGCAGGTGGGCGAAGATGGACCTGAGGGTTTCGTACAGCAGCTCATGCTGCTCCATGATCCCTCCGTCGTTCTTTGTGTTGTCTTCGTTTTTTCGTGTATTCCGTTCTTCCGTTTATCGATCGTCTCTCCGCTGCTTCTTTCCTTCTTCAGCTATGCCAGATGTCGATCTTGCTTCGTGTGCACCGACCTGGAAATAAGTAAAACACATCGAAAGGTCGGACGGAAGCCAGAAAAGCTCAAGGGTCCGTCACACCCGACGCCAGCACAGAGACACCCAAGAGGTCCCCCACGTGGTCACGTGGTCTCGCAAGTGATCCCCCAAGTGTTCCCCACAAGTGGTTTCGCACCAACTACAGCCCAACACGTGGCTCGAAGCGGAATGCTAAGCCTGCATCGGTGAAAGACTTGCAGCAGGCGAGGTGCACATAGATAGGAGGATCCATCGCTCCGCTCACCACGTCCCAGATTGGCGTCACCAAGGACCAGTACCTGTTTGGGCTAGGGCGGCTCGGGTTAGTCTGAAAGGCCTTGGGGGACTGAATTCGAGATCCCGAGCCCTGAAAGCAAGGCGCAGGGATGCGCAGGGCAGCACAAGGCAACCATTCAGTTCTGGGCAAGGTTGGACCTGCTGCAGCCTCTTGAAGATACTGACATGACAGGGCTGCCTCGCAGCTGCAGCTCCTCCGAGAAGTCACGAAAAAGGCAACAGATTCAAAGCCAAACCCACACTTCTGCAGCCGGGCCACAAGGCCACCACCACCCTCAGTTTGGGAAGATGTTCACGTCCCAGTATGGGGTTCAACTCTTGCAAAGTCAAAGAGAAGAAGAGAAGACGCCCGCGAACCCGAAACAGCTTTCAATTTGGCTACAATGGGCGGTTTAGCCCCACGTGCACACGTGTGGCACAATGATTGAACCCACGTGGCAGGGAAGTAGGGAGCACAATCGCATAGAGCGCCATCTCGACTCGAACCAGCGTGGGGAGGCCGGAGAGCCTCTTGCTCACGCTGCTTTCTCAACCGTGAGTGGGGGGGGGGGAGGAAAAGAAGGCTCAACAAATCTACTTGAGTCTGCTTAGCGGAGCCTGAAGCACAGGTGCGCATGGACTCTGGCGTAAGCATGGAGGCATTTTCGGATCTTGCACTCACCTTAACATGCGCGGGCCCTGGGTCCCTACAGAATCGTGCAGCTTCGAGCCCTGTTGAGCCGTGTTGAGCCGTGTTGAGCCCACCCAACCTCGGTTCTGAGAGGCGCCGGTACCCCTGAATGGCCAGCACCAGCAGCAAGATCTCGCTGAGAACCTGAAAGATCTCAGATCGCTTGGCTCTTGCGCCTCTTAGAGAGTTTGCCGGGGAAGGAACGGGCAATGGGCCCCCAACACTCGGGAAGCCCAGTATCCCTCATCGCTCATATACATTCTGTTTTCCAACTTCCGCCACGCTTTGTGTTCGATCGAAAGCGTGCGAAAGCCTAAAATCCATGCCCGAAAAAACCCTTGTGAAAGCCCAGCGTTTTGGCATCATCTTCGGGCTTCGTATGTCTTGAACATGCTGACAATCAAGCGGAAGAGGCCCCTCGGGCGCGCCTCGGATACGCCATTCTCGCAACTGTTGTCACTTTTGGGCCCTGGTTTAGGGTGCGCCATCCTCGTGACCGTCTGTTCTTGTTTGGACTTCGATCTAATGTTCGTGGCTCAAACGTACTGACAGTCACCAAGATGAGAAATGTAGGGTGCGCTATCCTCACAACTGCCGTCACTTTTGAAGCTTCGTATGTTGTTTGCGCCGCAAAAGTGCAGACAGAGCGAGATAAGAGAGAGCAAGAGAGAGAGAGAGAGAGAGAGAGAGAGAGGGGGGGAGGAGAGAGGGAGGAGAGAGGGAGGAGAGAGGGAGGAGAGAGGGAGGAGAGAGGGAGGAGAGAGGGAGGAGAGAGGGAGGAGAGAGGGAGGAGAGAGGGAGGAGAGGGAGGAGAGAGGGAGAGAGAGGGAGGAGAGAGGGAGGAGAGAGGGAGGAGAGAGGGAGGAGAGAGGGAGGAGAGAGGGAGGAGAGAGGGAGGAGAGAGGGAGGAGAGAGGGAGGAGAGAGGGAGGAGAGAGGGAGGAGAGAGGGAGGAGAGAGGGAGGAGAGAGGGAGGAGAGAGGGAGGAGAGAGGGAGGAGAGAGGGAGGAGAGAGGGAGGAGAGAGGGAGGAGAGAGGGAGGAGAGAGGGAGGAGAGAGGGAGGAGAGAGGGAGGAGAGAGGGAGGAGAGAGGGAGGAGAGAGGGAGGAGAGAGGGAGGAGAGAGGGAGGAGAGAGGGAGGAGAGAGGGAGGAGAGAGGGAGGAGAGAGGGAGGAGAGAGGGAGGAGAGAGGGAGGAGAGAGGGAGGAGAGAGGGAGGAGAGAGGGAGGAGAGAGGGAGGAGAGAGGGAGGAGAGAGGGAGGAGAGAGGGAGGAGAGAGGGAGGAGAGAGGGAGGAGAGAGGGAGGAGAGAGGGAGGAGAGAGGGAGGAGAGAGGGAGGAGAGAGGGAGGAGAGAGGGAGGAGAGAGGGAGGAGAGAGGGAGGAGAGAGGGAGGAGAGAGGGAGGAGAGAGGGAGGAGAGAGGGAGGAGAGAGGGAGGAGAGAGGAGAGAGAGAGGAGAGAGAGAGGAGAGAGAGGGGAGAGAGAGGGGAGAGAGAGGAAAGAGAGAGAGAGGAAAGAGAGAGAGAGGAAAAAAAGAGAAATAGGAAAAAAAGAGAGAGAGGAAAAAGAGAGAGGAAAAAGAGAGAGAGGAAAAAGAGAGAGAGGAAAAAGAGAGAGAGGAAAAAGAGAGAGAGGAAAAAGAGAGAGAGGAAAGAGAGAGAGAGAGAGAAACAAAAAAATGCGCAGGTGCTTCGGTCGCGTGGGCAGGCTTGCGTGCGTGCCTGCCTGCCTGTCTGTCTGTCCTGGACGTGTCTCCACTTCTCTCTACTGCGGGGCATGAAACTAGCATGCTTGGCCAGCCACCCCACTCTCGCATAAAGGATGCTTTCCGGGATGCTTGTTTGGGGCGGATCAGTTTAGTCAGACCCTTGAGTGTGGGACTCGGGTATGTAACGGATACTGATAAGGAAGTGCAAGCGCAGTGGACGTCATGAACCGAAGCCCCCCACGGAAGGCTCCCACTTTTCAAGTCAGCCTCAAGCCACAGCGCCCAGTGGGTGAGGAAGATTAAGTAGAACCATCCATCACCCTGCCAGCTCTAACAGCACTTGGCAGCATGTGCCAAATGATGGCGCACTTTTGCCTTAAGCACGCTGGATTGGGGTTTCATGATACACCTGGTCCAATGCCCCGCGTCTCCTCCTCGAGGCGCCAGACGAGATGTGCTATGCCGTGGCCCAGAAAGATGACGGCAGAGAGAAAGCGGAATGCGATGAAGGCCTGACTTGGTCTGTTTTAAGACGGCTTGTCTTGGAAGCTTCGCTCGTGGCAGTTCGGCTGTGGGGCTTATCACTGATCCTCTACATCACGCAGTGACATTTAAGTAGCAGCATAAGAGCATCAGTTGCAACATCAGACGCATCAGACGCATCAGACTCCGAAAGTAAACTCAAAGTATCACAAAGCTTCCTCTGCACCTCCACCAGAAGAAACTTGACGTCGCAGCTCAATACCGCTAGCCCATCTGGAGAAGACTAAGGTATCCACTGCAACACCGTCTGTGAGACATTTCACATCCCTTCAGCGCAGTCCTTTGGTCCTATCCTCGGACCGGTGGCAAACACCTGCACGAGCGCACCCTTTAGTGGAGGGCTCTCGCGACTGTAGGCCGAGGGCCCTTTAAGATCCTTTGGGCTTCTTCGGGTGAAGCGCTGCATTCTGCTTAGGCTATAGGAGGGTGTTCAGGGCCAAGTGCGTTTCGGGACCTCCGGCCACTCGTGTGCCGACCATGGTGCAACGTTGGTGGCAAAAACCATTGGGACCCGACTCTCCGCGCGACTGAAAACGAAGGGGTGCGCGCTTGGCCCCTTGGGTTCGGAGCCACTAAAACCTGCGGGCATGCCTATCAAAGTGGGAGTTGCAGAGGGTCCATGTAGGGCTTGCAAGCCTAAGCATCTGCTTTGACACAGTCATGTCTGCACTATGCCACGATGGCGTGACCCCTCCTCCACACCCTCCAGAAAGCCCAGACCCAGGTCTTCAAAGAGCGACAACAAAAGCTTAAAGCAGAGCTCACAGCCAATCACCTCTACTCTGCGGAGCTTACTGGTCATCTTGTCGCCACAACACTTCTGTCTGTTATGTTTCAATTGTGCTGACTCTCAGTGCAGAGAGTGGCAGTGCCACTTAAAGAAACGGAACTGCAATCGCACACCCCTGCCTACGGCATGAAAAAGAACAGGAGAGCCTGAAAACCAACTCCAAACCCTTCAGAACACAGCGCGCATTGTGGTTTCATTTCTCCGCTCGCGCACGCAATGCTGCTGAGCAAGAGGTTCTGTGGTAGTGCCTGGGCTCAATGCTTCATGTGTTGTCCAAGGCTCAAGGAAATTGTTCCTTCAGTGGGATGTGGGTCTAGGGTGTATAGGGCCGGCAAGTGGCTTAGAAGGCCTTGAAGGCTGAACAAGGTCTTATATCGTTTAGGGCAGTTTAGGGTTCAGGGTTGATATGGTCTAAAGCCTACAAGAATTGAGGGTTAAGAGCCTCCTCCAAAGGGGCTTCCAGGACCAGGAAAGTGTGTTTACGTCAATTTCAAAGCGATTTCTAGGTGCAGCAAACGACGGTACTACATCGCTCCTTCAAGCCAAGAATGGCGCTCAAGGAACATCGAAATCGAACCGAAGCCTTTCCGGAGAGGCCCGACTTGGCAGGCTTAGCATCCCAAACGCAAGAGGTGAGAAAGACAAACCCAAGATCGTCCTAAACTTGAGCGATTGCCCGAACCCCACTGAGCACCTGACCAGTCCTCGCCTGGGCCACATGCGGACGCTTGGACTGGTGGTTTGTTGCTTGAAAGATTTGGGGATCCAGCGTTGGGAGGCCTAGGGCCTTCGGGTTTTGAGGTTTTACTTCTTGTTATTCTTGTTGTTCTTCAAGTTCTTCTTGTTGTTATCATTATTATTCTTGTTACTTGTTCTTCTTTTGCTACTATTATTGTCATTACTATTGTTAAAGTTATTATTATGATTATTCCTCTTCTTCTTGTTCTTCTTGTTATCCTTCTTCCTTTTTCGTCTTCTTCTTCTTCTTCTTATTCTTCTTATTCTTCTTATTCTTCTTATTCTTCTCATTCTTTCTTATTCTCCGCATTCTTGTTTTTGTTCGTGCTTCTGTTCCCCCCCTTCCCTCTCAGATGCCCTCCGCTTGCACACCGGCTGTGGGCGCAAGCCCGTAGATATTTCACTGTAATTCACTATATCTATATACTAACATGTCACAATTTTACGTTTGTTAATTCTTTGCCCTTTCACGATTCTAATTTTGCAATACTTGCTGTGTTACTAGTTTACCATGTTGCTGTTTTTAACATTGACGATTCGTCTCCACTACAGTATTTCTCTCCGTCTTTCCTTCTTGTTATTTGTTTCTTTCTTTCTATCTTTCTTTCTTTCGAGGGGTCAGGCGTCTCTGCTTCTTTCGCATTCTTGCTCATTCTTTCTAATTCTCTCTCATTCCTTCTCTCTCTCTCTCATTCTCTGTCTGTCTTCTTCTTCTACTACCCAGCGAAAAGGCCCGCGTTGGCCCACTGCTCAGTCCGTCGGGTGACGTGGTTCAAACGGCCAGCATAAACAGATCACTTTACGTCGGTGTCGCGGTCTTGGTGTAGTGTTCCGTCGGTGTTACGGTCTTGGTGTTGTGTTCGTTTGCGTTTGTCGCTCTCTGTCTCTGTCTCTGTCTCTGTCTCTGTCTCTGTCTCTGTCTCTGTCTCTGTCTCTGTCTCTGTCTCTGTCTCTGTCTCTGTCTCTGTCTCTGTCTCTGTCTCTGTCTCTGTCTCTGTCTCTGCCTCTGCCTCTGTCCCTGTCTCTGTCTCTGTCATTGCCTCGTCGGGTGACAGGGCTTGAAAATGTCGAGCGACAGAAAGTATAATCAAAAGCTAAGAGAGAGGCTTCCCCGCTGTATGACGAAGGTTAATCAGAACGCACTGGTGTTTGTCTGTTCCGCCTTACATGACTGGACTTGGAAAAACGTGCAGCCTCTGTCTCAAGTTGGTTGTAGGGTACCATCCCTAGCTACGAACAGTCCGTCTTCAAGGATCTCTCTCTCTCTCTTTCTTTCTCCCTCTCTCTCTCTGTCTCTCTCTCTCTCTCTCTCTTTCTCTCTCTCTTTTGTCTCTCTCTCTCTTTTGTCTCTCTCTGTCTCTCTCTGTCTCTCTCTCTTCTTTCTCTTCCGTTCAAGCTGGCGCAGGGCTTTCTGGGGTTTCCAACTTCTATTTAATTGAGCTCTGCAAGGCTTGTTGGGCTGCCTTGGGTCTTTTTACAGGGTTGAGGCTCCAGACCCCAAAGCCAAAGCCCCAAAAGCTCTGGGAGGGCGACGTTGGCAGGCCTTCGAACAGTAGGCCACTTGCTGGCAAGCGGCGCAGCCTTGGCTGACTTCGGAAACCTGCTAAAAAAACTGAACTTCGAATGGGGCAAAATTGGCATACTTGTTGTTGCTTGACGTAGCATTGTTCATGTTGGCAGATGCTTCACAGCATCAATGCCATCTAACAGTCCAACGACATGTTCCCTTACACTAAATCGACCCGAAACTTTCCGAAACTTTTCGGCTTTGCACCACGTTCTGCACCTGCACCCTGGCTCTTTGTGAAGACCTCCTTAAAACCCCGAAGGCCCCGGGCGGAGCGCACCGGGGGGACACCCGCAGCGGCTGCAAAGCGAAGGCGCAGGGACGCCACGGAAGGGAAGTGGCTGCCACAGGCGGGGCTCCTGGCCATCAACTGGGATGTCTTGAGTGGAACCTCATCAGCTCTAGAGAGCGGAGGAAGGGAAGCCTTTTTCGCCTCCGCCTAGCCTTAGCCTCTGTAGCGAGAAAGGCAGCAGTTGGCTTCCAGTGGATGTTCAAGGATGCCTCAAGGATTGCTCAAGAGCTCCAAGGGTAGGATTCGGACCCGAGAGTGCAAAACGATGAACTTCGTGAGACAGGTCCATGCACAGATCCCCGATCCCCATTCAAACCACAGCCCAGTCGTCTCGCAATACCCTCTGAAAACCTAATCCTTTGAAGCAAAGCTCCTCGAACCACGTCCACCAGGCACGTGAGTAGACTTTAGAGAAATCCTGTCGGCAGGCACCCGTACAACGGACTTTCAGTGTGGCTTCCAGGGGGCGGGGTTCTGTCTCGAACTTGACCAAGGGTAGGGGGCGACTGGGCCACGCGTTGCTGGGATAGGAGTTCCTAGCTACCAGTTGTTTGTGGCAAGTTGGTACCCTGCAAGCCCATGCGCCTCATGAGCCTCATGAGCCTCGTGAGCCATCCCTTTGGTTGCAGTGGACAGCATCTGTGGGCCACGAAGGAAGGACCGCCCACCCCCTCTTCCCTCTGACCTGCGGGTCCACCGAAGCTTCAGGACACAAAGCCTCAGCTTTGAAGAAAGCTACGATTCCACGCCGATGCGCAACAGAAGCGAATGTACCAATGTGTCCCTGTTCACTGTTGACGGATGGCCCTTGACGAAGTTCGCAGTGGAAGCCGCGACTGATCCCAGACCCTCTTCAACTGCTGTCACAGCTTGGGTTTGAGGAGGCGGCTTAAGGCGCAAGGGCCTTGAGGACTTCAGGGCTTCAGTCACGCTGTGAAGCCTCCACCCTTCACCGATTGGGCCCCCGCTGCCAGGATCTCCACGTCGAGCACTTTGGCCTTCCACTCGGGCTGCTGGGGCACTGGAATTTTGATTGGGCGGACCTTCTCAGGGCTTCGGCCGATCGGCTCGTCCCCAGTAGCCAGCCGTCAACGAACCCAGAGGCTTTCACGAGCAACTCTAAATCACAACAGAGATCACCAAAAACAGTGAAAAAGAAAGAGTTCGCCCGAGGGTTCTCCGGGCTTCTGAGCACTCATGTCACTCACGCGCCTGTGACGGGAGTGCAATCAGAGCTCGCTCGCCCACGCACATGGAGCCTTCATTCTTTACTTTACATCCAAAGCGATAATGCAGGACCGAAAGAGACACTATTACACTCCCAAACCGTCATGCTCGGATGATTCCTTGCATGAGCTCACCAACCTAAGCCATGTGCAGGTGTCCAGGCAAAGGCACACCACTGTCGGCAACGGCCCCCACTCCTAATCCCTCTCCTCTCCTGGTCTTGCAACTGCCCTTGATGCCGAGGCCGAGTAGGGAACAATCCTTCCCCTCTCTGCAGTAAGCTGCTGGCGCAGGGCGCCCTCAATCGGCTCCAGGGACGCATCCTGCACAGCGCCTAAACAACCCTAAACCCAGTTGTCAGCCTCTGCGCTTAGGAGGGTTTGGGAGCTTTGGGAGCTTTGGGAGCTTTGGGAGCTTTGGCAAGCTTTGAGAGTTTTAGGGAAGTCTCTTGAGCTTTGGGAGCTTTGGGAATTCTTTGTAGGCTTCTCGAAGCTTCTCAATGCTTCTCAGAGCTTCAACCAGCCCCAAGACAAGAGCGCCGCTGGTCTGTGAGTCACAGCCGCCCCCCTGAGGTGCGAACTGCCCCCAGGGAGAACACCTTCGCTGGCTCATTTGTGCCCACCCAAAGGATTGGGTTTCGCGAGGCAATGTGAGGAACCCCGGAACCAAAAAGCTCTTTGTGCTTCGCCTCTTCCGTTGCATTTCCCTACTTGTCGCCAGAAAAAGAGTCGCGGCTGGAAGGACACCACCACCAAAGAGCCGCTGAGCAATGTGCTGCAGCGCGATGGCCCATTGCTTGTTGCTACGCGCATCGCATTTCCGGGTGGTGGTATGTGAGCCCTCAAGCTTCGTGTTATTCCCACACAGCCTCTGGCGACCCGCACCGAGAGGACTTGCACAGCACCGGCGGCCTGGCGCTAAGACTTGCCAGGAAATAACCGCATCTGTGGCCTAGATGTCGGGAAAGTTCGAAAACATGTACAAGCCTTCTGCAAGCCCGGCTACTCCATTGAGTTGTAGACTGTAGTGGCGCAAAACGACGAATGGGCTATGGGCTTCAGAGAGTTCAGATTCTTCAGAGCTAACAAGAGACAAAAACCACCAAGGCTGGGTCGCAATGCGGCAGGCGCCGATGTGTAGGGGGAAAGGCGAGGACCAGCCTAAAAACATTTTAACGTAAAAGGCAACCAACTTCACGCAACTGCACTCACCAGAGGAGACAGGGGGGGAGCCTTCTCGGATGTTGCGGGGCCTTATACCCAGGATTTGTCTTTGATCAAGGAAAAGAGACAGCAAACAGAAACAACAGCCGCAAGCTTTCAAGGACTAGCCTTCTTGTCCTCTAAACTTTCGACTGGAACACAGGACAACTTCCGAATGATTTCCGATCTCTCAGACGTTGAAACCCTCGAAACTTCACGATACTCACGATACCCCTCCCCCTTTCAAATCACAAAAACCAAGGTGCTGAGTCCATACATATCCGATAAACCCCTTCCTTGACAGCTTCACCCGGTCTCAAAGGACTCACAAGGAGTTTCCTTGGTTTCCTTCCCCTCTTCCTCGAACCGTCTCTGACCTGCCTCCCCGTGTAGAGGGCTACATGGCACACGGCATTGTAGCGCGGCACTCTCGGGGAGGCGGCGCCTCCAGATCAGGGTCTTTGAAGGCCTGTAAGTGTCTGTCGTGCTCTGAACACGGCCGACGTGGCGACCCTTCTCGAGCACGTGGACCAGCCTCCAGATTGAAGTGTGTGCCTGGAGGAGGTGGGGTTTGGGACCTTCAGAGTTATAGCGGATTGAGTTCTCTAGGAGTTCAGGCTTGCCTGGCCCACAGTCAGCAGTTTGCGAGGAGTGTATCTTGAAGGCAAATGGTCCAAGGTCTGATGCGCTTTCCGCGAGCTTGCTCTCACATGTCCGGCCCTTAAGAGTCTCTGTGAACTCACAATGGAGGTGAAAAACAGTCAATGGAATTCAATGGAAATCAGATGAACTCTGCCAGGCAGCTTCAGTGCCCCTGGCAGGCCACCTGCAGCTGGGAGCAGCTGGGGGCAGCGTCACGCAAGGACATGTCTCCGCGTGTCCCTAAAACACCCTAAAACCAACATCCACATCGAATCCACATCCTCGCCTTGCAGCCCTTCCGGCCGGTGAAGGAGCTGCGCAGCTGCCGCATGCAGCTCCTGCTGAAGAACCGCCCTTGAAAGCTGAAAAACCCCAGAGCCGCCGTCTGCTGGGATGTACAGCTTGGGAGCTTGGGCTCATTTTTGTTAACCCTGCCTGTGGCGTGAAGGGCCCCTGGTCCCGGGGCTCGGTGCACTCAGGCTGCGGACCCAGCCTCGGGCTGTCGAGTAAGTGGACTCCCAGCGAAAACACAACTCGAGGAGTTCAGTTTGGGGTTTGGAGACCAGTTGGAAAGAGCAGAGCAAAGTCAGCTGCTTAGATCTCAGACACAACCCGGGCGACCGGCGGGCACAACAGCGTCACGGAGGCTGCGAGGCCCCGGCTGGCTAGGAACCAGCCGCCGGGCACGCACAGCGCCTCCGGTGCTGTTGGCGTGAAGTGAGAGGCAGGGCAGAACAAGTTGAGGGAACACTGAATAAACTTGAATAAACCATAATCCTCAACTGAGCCATTTTGCTGGAGCACGTGCCTCGGCCTTGACGAGGACCACGGAGTGAGGCTCTGCCTCATCGTCGGCCCAGGGCACATAAGCCTCGGAGCCCGCAGAGAGCAGACTCAAGGATGGGCTCCAAGGGCTTCTTGTGAGAAAAGCAAGTCCTGTATGCTCTCATGGCTAGTCTCCTTCTTGCTGGGTCACATTCCGGTGTGGCGGGTAGGTTTCCGTACCCGGACAATCCCAGAAGCTCGAAGCAACGGATGGCATAGGGTTGGCTAGTGATGGACTCCAACCCGCAGCTGTCCCCAAACCACAAAGCACGCCCTGGACTCCAACGGACCCCAAACTCCGCATCCCCTGCATCTGCAACCTGTCAGGTTCTGCAGGCCAAAAGCAGCAAGAACCCTGCAGGACCATGTACGCTCGAGTGAATGGCACCGCGAAAGCTATCTGAGGCCCACTGCACTCTGCCCCGGCTCCAAGAGTTTGCCTCGCCGTGAGCTCGGAACGTTAGGAACATTAAGAGCTACCACTTTCTTCAGGCACCGGACAGCAAATGCAGCAAATGCAGCAAATGCAGCAAGTGCAGCAAATGCCAACTGAGCCCCAGATCCCGGCAAAGTGTAATGGTAAGTGTAACGTGAAGTGCAATGGCAAAGGTGTAATGGTAGAGGTGTATATATGCGCCCGCGTTCCGCGTAATCGAGCCCCCCCCCCCCCCAATGGTATCCCCCCCCCCGGCAACCCCCCACCAAACCCTGCCTGTTGACCCTAAAAACACCACGGACCACGGGGGGGGGGACAGAGAAGCCTCAGCCTAAACCCCAAAACCTGAACCCTAGCCCTAAAACTTAAAACCACCAATGAACGACGGGAGGGAGAAGGGTAAACCCGAAACCTTTGCTGAACCAATGGACCAGAGTGAAAATCCTGAACCCTAAAGCCTAACCCTAAACCCCTAAACCCTAAACCCATGAACAACACACCATGAACCACGGGGGGGGGGGGGGGGGGCACCATGAAACACAGAAAGGGGGGAGGGGGGGATACCATGGGGGGGGGGAGGAGGGGGGGGGAGGGAGGGGGGGGAGGGAGGGGGGGGGGGTGCGCCTATGCTGGCCCATATAATGGTAAAGGTGTAATATGGTAGAGGTGTAAGTAATGGTAAATGAAACGGCAAGTGTGACTTTGGCAAGAAACACAAAACGCTTTTGCTCTGCGCTCCTCCTGCCCTGATCTTCGCAGCGTCAGGGGGGAAGAGGAGTACCTCTGCAGTCAAAAGCAACTTTTGCATCTCATCGCATTGCAGGCGCAACACTCCGTGACAGCCTGGGCTCGACTTAAGTCAACGTCTCAGTGGGCGTTCCGAATCTTTCAGTAGGTTGTCGCTGGGAACTTGTCGCTAAGGCAAGACAACCACAGCGCCTCGAATCTTGGAACTCCGAATTCAGATCCCGGTCCGGATCCGATCCTGCTGCATGCCATCCAGCTGCCATAGAAGCCAGGTTTGCCCCTCCTCACTCAATTTTGCGTGACCGTGAAGGTTTCGGATGTTGAGGCTGCTGATGCCAACAAACAACTGTCTCCCAAAGCGAAAGTTGTTGCCCTGCACGAAATGCCTTTCCAAACATCCACAAGCCTTGCCGCCTGGCCCAAGCCTGGCCCAAGCCCAAGCCTGGCCCAAGCCTTCAACATCTCCCGCAAAGCACTGGCCCTGCCTTCAATTGGTGGAGACGCACTTCTGCACCCGGTGGGGCCACAGCAAGCAATGCCTGGTGCTCAGACGGCGCCAGCGTCTTACGCTGCAGAGGTGGCCAGGGGTGGCTTGTGGACGCTCTTGCCAAAAGAAGCGTTGTGTGGAGGCTTGCAAACATTTGAAAGAAGCATTTCACACACACACACACACACACACAAAGAATCTGCCTCCTCAAGCCGGGGATCGCCCCCAGCCTCGGTGGCTTGTGGTGGCTGCTTATAGGCTCAGCCTTTAAGGGTTTCTGCTTCATGGTTTCAGGGCATACGGGGCCGGTGGGCAAGGATCTTTTACTGCTGCTCGCACTCCCCCATGACCCACCTGGAGGCGATGCATATCGAATAGTTACACATGCTTTCCATTTCTTTTATGTCAAACTGACTAGTACAGGCATAGCCTCACCGTTGGATCGCTGCATGGGGATATGTGTAATGCATATGCTATCTAATATGTTGTTTTGGTCATGGCGTGGGGCTTCGTGCTGCGAAAAATGTATTGTGTACTGTGCTTCTGTATACAAAGCAGCATATGCGGCACAAGTGTGCTCAAAGTTTTCTCGTCACTACTCCATTCTCCATCGCAATGCTGAAAGAGTCATCGGAGCTACCACCCAACAAGCAAAACCTAAATTCATGTCCTATCGGGTAGGCTTTGCAATTTCAGAATCGCTCACCGGATGATGAAGGACACTGGGACACCCACCTCAGCGGACGACAGGCAAGCGTTGGACTTGCGCCCCCCTCCCCGCCCCTACCCACCCCCCCAACCGTCTGCCCTCCCCCTACTTCAACTGAAAACCCCTGAAACCTTAAACATTCAAGGGGGAAACGTACGGGCCAGTGAGTGAATAAACGCCCCATGAAAAGGTTGATTTACAAAAGGGGAGACAGTGTGAGGGCGTTTTTATGCTAGATTTCCTCGCGCGGCGCTTTTTTGTTTGATTTTATAGAACTAAACTTCAAAAAATAAACGAACATTCTGGGATTCTCTAGAGTGCTTAGATGGCAAGAGCCCCGGAAAACTGGAAAAACAAAAAATTAATATAACAAAAACCTGGGCGCTTTCCAACTTAGGCCCTCTGATGGAAGCATTTTTCTTGTGTTTTTCGCTTTTTGTCATTTTGTTTAGGTATGTTGCTTTTTGTTTTGCCTTTTCTGGTATTTTTTGTTTTTCCATTTTGTCGTACAAGCATGAGATCTCGCGGGAGGAAAAAAACAGCAGAAATGCGCCCTCCCGCGGTCGCGGCGCCCTGCGCAGATGAAGGACTGGGACAGCCCCACGCGCTCGACGTCGTTTATCTGGAAAATGTCCACAGTCTCAGTTACATTACGCGAAACAAGGCATTCAAGCTTCGCGAGAGCTTGTGGAGATAGATTTTTGCATTTTGTTAGATTTTGTTTTGGGTCTTTGTGCGTGCGCTGCACCTCGGGCAAATGAAGGACACTCGCTGTTTACTTTATTCTGACAAATTCTATCTTCAACACAAGTCATGATATCTTTTTGTACGCCATCGAAGGTGCACAAATCGTCCTTGGTGAAGTAAAGCCACGTTATTGATGGTTTAGCGACAACTGTTATGTCGTATGCTATAAGAATACTTTAATAGTTTCATGTAAACATATTGATTGAAGTATAGGTGTACAGAACGCAATGGAAGTTGTTTGGGGAATGTCTTCGGCAAAGTTACTTAGGTCAGAAAGATTTTGGAGTCTTAGCAAATAGGATCCTAGGTATCCTGTTGAGCTGTAACGATGAATATATTGGATTCTAGTTGCAATCCAATTCAACTCGGGAGCGCAATCATTTGTTGACTACGCCCCGCCTCCACAAAAATGCAGAGTGGGATCATACTTTCTATTTGTGTTCAAGTATGAAGATCTCCATACCCCCGTTCGGATGCACGCTATAGTCTAGGATTACAAACACAGCAGGATCCTGCACCTATATTTGGAATATTGCATTCTTTCAATTGCATTGGGTCGGTTGTGCACACATACACGCACACGCACACGCACAGGCACACGCACGCACGCACGCACGCACGCACGCACGCACGCGCACACACACACACACAGAGTAAAGGGTTTAGATTTAATTGCCGACTTATGTTTAAGTGCCTAAATCTTAAACCTTAAACCTTTGAGCCTTAACTTTATACGGTTTAAAGGTTAAGGGTTTGGGCTTCGTTGCTTAACCCGAAAGGGCTTTGGGGCTTCGCTTCAAAACCCGAAAGCCTTAACCGATTGATCGGGTTTTAAAGAATAAGCCTTCAAAACCAGGGAGCGGTGGAGCGGAGGGTAGGGGCGGGGGGGGGTGGGGTGCACAGGGGTCCTGGCTGTGTGGAAGACCCTTGGTACCCCGCCCCCTCCCCCCCACCCCGGTTTTATAAGCAAACTTAATGCTTAAAAGCAATATGTTGTTTGACAAAGCTCTTGCCAACCAAGATTAAGTACGCAGAGCACGTACCAACTCATGCATATTTTGAGTGCTTAAACCTTTAACGCTGAAGGCTTAAACTCTATGGGCTTAGGCTTAAATGCCTAAATCTTAAACCCTAAAAACCTTTCAACCTTAGCCCTATCGGTTTAAAGGTTAAGGGTTTATGTTAAACTGCTAGTCCTTTCGGGTTTCGGCTTGAGAGCACAACGATTTAATTGAATCGGACGGGATCCAAGATCCAAGATCCAAGATTTCCGAGGCTCTTGGAATCTCAAATCTTGGATCCCGGCCGATTGAATTCAATCGGAAACGATTGAGTTCAATCGGCCGGGATCCAAGCTTTGAGATTCCAACATGACTCGGCAAGAGTCCTGGGAAATCTTGGATCTTGGATCCTGGATCTTGGATCCCGGGTGATTGAATTCAATCGTTTCCGATTGAATTCAATCGGCCGAGATCCAAGATTTGAGATTCCAAGATGTCTCGGTAAGATTGCGGGGCATTTTCATCGTGAGGCAGATGCAATTTCATTATGAGGCAAGACGGATTTTGTTTCATTGTGAGGTATCATTATGAAGCAGACAGATTTATTTCATTGTTAAAAAAGATGGTAAAACGGTAGATCATTGAGGGGGGGGTGCCATACATGTGTATATATAGATGCTCACCCCCCCCCCATGATCTAGGTCGAAAGGCCTTTCGGGCCCATCGAAGCGAGATTTAAACCTAAGTCGGAATGAAAATTAAAAGGCCACTGGCCTCATTCGTAGTAAAATTTTTTTAGAAATCTAAATTTGCCAATTAAAAGCCGCACCCTATGAAATCCTCTTCTGGGGCCTGCCTGTCCGTAACAAAATCTCACAAGAGCTTTATATGCAGAGGTTACAGCCTCAGAAATCCTCATCTGGGCTTCCTTCCTATTTTATTGAGAAAATGCTTCTACATAAGAAGCCCACACCCTACGAAAAGAATTCTATACTTAAAGGCCACACCCTATGAAATCCTCTTCTGGGCCCTCTTAATGAAATTTCAGTAGACTTGTGTCTGATAAAGCCACAGCTTCGTTCGTAATTAACCCAAGTAAAAAAACATATTAAGAGGCCCAGCCCCAAGACATCCTCTTCTAAGCCTCATTGATTAATACCTATTTAGAACATTTTTGTTTTTCCCACACCCTGTGAAATCTTTCGCTGGCCCCATTCGTAATGAAACGCAATTTGATTTCATATTGTAAGCCCACACCCTAAGAAATCCTCTTCTGGGCTTCGTTCGTAATTGAACCCAAGTAAAGCAAGTGTATATTCAGAGGCCAACCCCAGGACATCCTCCTCGCAATGAAACCGAGTTAGAATTCTATATTGCAGACCATACCCTATGAAATCCCTTTCTGGCCCCTATTTGTAATGAAGATTAATTAGAATTCTGTATTACAAAGCCACACGCCAAGAAATCCTCATTAGACCTTCGTTTGTAATTAGACTTATTTTCGATTTGCCAAGATGCTTGTATTAAAAAAAGCCACACCATTCTGGGGCCTGTTCGTAACAGAATCTCGTAAGAAGTTTATAATTCTAGGTAAGAAGCCCACACCCTAAGAAGTTCTGACCTAGGCTAGGTTCGTATGTAACTCTTGGACAGAAATTTATATCATGAGCCCCCATTCGTATTTGAATGTACTTACAATTCCATATTTAACCGCTAGACCCTATGAAATCCTCTTCTGGTGCCTATTAGTGAAATGTCAATAGACTTGTATATGATAAAGCCATAGCTTCGTTAGTAAATTAAACCCAAGTCAAACAAACAAATTAAGAGGCCCCGCCACAAGACATCCTCTTCTAAGCTTCATTGGTTAATACCTATTTGGAATTCTATTTTGCAGACCACACCCTATGAAATTCTCCCCTGGCCTCGCTTCATACTACAATGTTATTTGAGGTTTGTATTAAAACGCCACACCCTAAGAAATCCTCATCTGGACTCGTTTGGAATTCCACTTAAATTGAATTTTAAGTTTAGAGGCCACACCCCTTTGGACAGAATTTAAAAGGCCACACCCTAAGACCTGTGTATGGTAAAGCCACGGCTTCGTTCGTAAAACCAAACCAAGTAAAACAATTAAGAGGCCACGCCCTTCTAAGCCTCATTCGTTACTACCTCTTTGGAATTTTATTTTACCGACCACACCCTTGGAAAGTCTCCTCTGGCCCCGCTTCGTAATGAAATGTAATTTGAGGTTTGCACTAAAACACCACACCCTAAGAAATCCTCAACTGGACTTCCTTTGTGATTCCACTTAAATAGACGTTTAAATTAAGAGGCCACACCCCAAGACATCCTCTTCGAAGCCCCACTCTTTTTTAAGTCCAATTAGACTTTTGAATTGCAGGTCCACATCCTCAAAAGAACCACACCCTAAGAAACCCTCTCTATTTCTTTTTTTTATTACTTTTCATATTAAGACGCCACATCCCAAGACATCCTCTTCTAAGCCTCATTCGTAATTAAATCTAATGGAACTTTACATGTTAACGCCACGCCCTGCATACCGAATAGGCTGAATTGAAAAAAAAACGAATGGTGGGTGTGTTTGTGTGCTTTTCTCTGTGTGTGCGCAAGGCAGTCACATTAGCAGAAACAACGTATAACAATACACATTCTTTATACAAGAAAAGCATTTTTTGCAAAATTTGCTATAAAAAAAAAAAACCAAAAATCCAAAAATCCAAAAATTCAAAACCATGGAGCCGGGAGGCCGCCTTTTTTGGATTTTTCGGTTTTCTCGAGGTTTTTTTGGTTTTTTTTGGAAAAATCCAAAAAAAACCATGGTTTTTTTTGGATTTTACTTGCTCCTGGCCTCAAAAACCTAAAAAACACATGGTTTTTTTTGGATTTTGAGTGAAAATCCAAAAAAACCCTCGTGTTTTTTTGGATTTCAGGTGCTCCTGGTCTCAGAAACCAAAAAAACACGAGGGTTTTTTTGGAATTTCACTCAAAATCCAAAAAAAACCATGTGTTTTTTAGGTTTTTGAGGCCAGGAGCAAGTAAAATCCAAAAAAAACCATGGTTTTTTTTGGATTTTTCCAAAAAAAAAACCAAAAAAACCTCGAGAAAACCAAAAAATCCAAAAAAGGCGGCCCTCCCGGCTCCATGGTTTTGAATTTTTGGATTTTTGGATTTTTGGATTTGTGTCAAAATTTGCAAATTCTGCAAAAAAGAAGTGTTGTTTGCATACAATTCTGTGTTTATAAGCCTGTCCTATGCAAATAATTCATAGACATGTTTACCAAATTGCATTTTCCTGTGTTTTTGGGGTGTTTTTTATGTGGTGATGTGGAAGTAGTGCTAAACACACGCGTTTTTCACTATTTACAGGTTTTCTCGCATAGGACTAGACGTGCAAAAACAGGACATCGCCTAGCATAGCCAGCATGTCATTTTAATCGGTATTTACGAGGGTTTTTATAGGGACAAAGCAAAACCTAGATCATGGGGGGGGGGTGACCATATAGATATATATATATATATATACATTATATACCCATTTATATTTCTCTAATGCTTCACTTTGTGTGTGAATATGTACATATGTGTGCATATATATATATATATACACGTACGGATAAGCGTTGAATGTTTAGGTGAGCAGTGAGCCCTCGTATAGATTGTACTTGTACAAGGATGCGCGTTGTATTTCGAAATACTGCGTTTCATGAGAACTCTATTCGTTACACTGGATAGGGACTTGTTAAAGTCCCCTTGTCACAAATGTTGATGCATTCACATTGTATTGCAACTGTTCTCACATTCCCAAAACAACCCAATTTTCTTCACATGCGGCCATGTCCAACCGCACTTGTAAACGTTTCAGCTTGGTGCAAATGCTTGTCCTTTTTTTGCACTGTGGGCATTGCTGTTTGAAAAAACGGGTTCAATGCTTAGACTATGCAAGAATAGTGCGAGACAAGCTGCAACTGCAACAGCCGGCAGCTCCAGTCGGGGCGCCTCACAGCTGGGAAGGCGACGTCGTGCGGCTACGGTGTTACAAGCGTTGAGCAATAGTATAGCGGGGCTATATGGGGCTGGAGCTCAGGGCTTTTGTTAAGCCATGCTCGATACAGAATCATGTGAGTTTTGAGTCAGGTGCTCGGAAAGCAAGATGAGTTTTGGGGTCGAAACCGGTTTAGGGCCATTCCCGACCAGCTTTGATTCAGAGGGCACGAAAACAACAAGCCCTCATAGAAACCAAACATGCAGCTTCACTTCATCTCGAGGCACTGTGAAACCACTCCCAGACTCCCAGAGAACGCTGCAGAACAATCCTCTTACTTGCACAAGCATCGGACTGCATGTGCACCAACCGGCCAGCAAGAGAGTGGTAGGAGTGCTGTCTGTTGTCTTACTGCAGTGAAAATCTTAGCCAGTGCAGAGCTCTCAACGTTTTTTTTCCTGCGTCCTCGATAAACCAAGAAGTGAGGCTGCGGGTACCCAAGGGGGGTGTGTGGACATCCACCATGGAACCTTGAAGAGCCTGGCTGCCAACATGAAATTAATATAAAAAAGAGAGCAGTGGGGCCAGAGGCTTCAGCACAGCAATTCTTTTGTACCCGGGCAACTCGGCCTTTGCAACTCCTCCCGTCCCTTCTCTCTCCTTCTTCAACTCACCACTAAGAGCCCCAACTCAACCCTTGCAGTGCAAGACGCTCTCCTTCGTTTTGTGAGAGGCCGTGGTCAAGAGTTTGGGTTTCAAAGTTCAGCTTCCCGAATCGCTTCGTACAACTCTCAGACCGTCATTCGGCACGCCTTTAAAGGCAATGCCCTTGCACTGCGTCCAACCCAGCCTCATAGGGCTAAGGCTCGGAATGTGCCGAACTCCGAGCTGAATCATCATGTGGTCTCCGCAAGATGCGAGAGCTTTGCAGCTTCGACCTCAACTCCGACGACGCACCGGTCACCAACTCCAAGACTCCACCCGCGCTGACACGGCAATGGGCACTTCTGTCGGCGGATTGTTTCGCCTATCCAGCGGATGTTCTCGGAATAAACCGGAGGAGAAACGCGAATCATACGCAAGGACTTTGTATGGTATTTTTGCGAGGCCTAGAAGCAGGTTCTAAGCGATCATTGTACTGCACCTCATCTGCACTTGACGTCAACCAATCCCTTGGTGCTCTTTATTTGATATGAAAGGACAGAAAGCATGCCCCGCGAGGATGCTCCCATCATCGACTGGAACATTGCACCTGTGCTTGATAGCACTGCCGCATGTGTTTAGTGGGATCACCCCTCTTGAGCAATGGACAGGCGTGGTACCAGAGTCACGGGGCGGCAGGCGAAAAGAAAGCTAGAAGACAAAGGAGGCAATTGTCCAACAGGAACCCGATCCAGCCAAAGGCGGCAGCGTAAGAGGCAAGGAGCGAGGCAAGCACACGGGCAAGGGCAAAGGAAAGAAGTTGTCTCCCTGACCCGGAAAAATCCAGGACGTCTGCGTTTTCTTTCAGAATGGAACACTTTCTGACAAAGAATAAATCCAATGCCTCACGCGTGATGCTGCGCATCCGATATGACATGAATACAGACGGAGATCTCACAGTTGCGGTGTATCTCCGAGCCGGTACAGCATCAGTTGTAGGAAGTTAGAACGCTTCCTGATACGGAAGGCACCTTACTGTGAAGCAGCCGTAGTTTTGCATGCTTTTGACTTTGTGGGTTGCTTCGAGGAATCTGAGCTGCTAAGCTGCAGGGTTTCTTCTGTTCATTTGGGAGTCTTCTCCTTCCGAGTTTGTAGTTGCAGTGACTGGCGAGCTGTTGCTGCGACTATGATCGAATGTGGCGCTTACACTGTTTACACTCCTCCGAGTTTAGGGACTGAGAGTTAGAGGCAAGGCAAGCCAACAGTCTCCCTCGGTGCCTCACTGGCGCCGGAAGCTGCAGCCCACGGCCTGAGGGACGGATGGGAGCGCGTGAGATTTCTGTACGTCTGTGATTTCTGTGCATGAAGTTTTGAAGTTTGGAGGGCTCGGGGGTCGGAGTTCTGCGGCCAAACGGTTCAAAGCTTTCAAGACGAATTCCGGCAGCGCCTCCAATGAGCTTGCCAGGCGCGTGCCGGGTCCATCCTCGTGACGTTCAGAGTCGTCTGTGTAGGGTTCACAAGTGCCTTCCTGAGGTTTTGAAAAGACCCAAATATCACTGTACTCACACCTCGCCTCAGGCGACAGGACGAGCTCAGGGAGTCTAGGGTGGGCTCATGAGCCCCCTTATGAACCCTCAGGCCCCTCTGCGTTGTCAGGTGCTTGCTCTCCTAAACTTCTGCCCTCCAAAGCCCTTCCATTCGAAAAGCTCTCTGTTTTTGGCAAGGCGATAAGTAGAATTATGCCGGCGAAGATCCTAAACAGGAAGATTGTAAAGAAAGGGCAGGCGGCGTGAAACAACAACGCGACATAAAATTCGACAGGCGTTTAGGGTTACCCTAAACTTCAGTGCTGGCCCCTTAATAGGTCGGCATGCAGCACCATGAGTCAGAACCCAAAGACATAGACATGATTCATGCCTTTTTTGGCCCGAAAACTTGAGATCGGGGCCACGAAAGCTAGAAACGCGGCTGACAAGCAAGCTTTTTTCGAGTCAGGCGCAGGGCCTGACCAAGACGGAGGGGGAAGCCTGAAAAGGGAGGGGGGGGGGGGGGGGCCCAAAAAGGGGGGGGGGGGGCCCCCCCCCCCTCCCAGAAATCAAGTAAAGGCGACCCTGAAAGGAGAGGGGGGGGGGGGGAAACCTTAAGATTGATTTTGTCAATCCTATAAGGGGGGGGAAGGGGCCCCCCCCCCCCTCCACAGCCCTTTATCTCTTTGATTTTCAGACCACTTAAGGGTCGGAGTCGCTTCTTGACCCAGCTGAACACTAGAGAGAATTCTTGTAAACGACAACTCTCGCGAGCTCCAAGGAGCTAGCTTTCGTGAAAAAGGAACATGCCCAAATGCAGTATAGGAGGCTGGATAAATGCATTAGCGCAGCCGTCCTCCAAAACCACGATAGACCTGACCCCGCGCGGAAAGACAGGAAAGCAAGACCGCATGCTTTTGTCGGGCCTGGCAAAATGCATTCGCGCAGCCCCTGGTCGTCCATGCCTATTGCGCTGCCTGTGTTTCGTGCCAGCGTGTACAGATCAAAACCAAATAGAAATAGATTGGTGTTGTCACGATACCACATGCACCCGGGGGCATGCCAAATACATTCTTCGTCGCCCGACAAATGCATTTGGCAACGGTTTCCCATCGTGTTGTAGTCTGTGTTTGTCGTCGTTCATGAACTCGACGATTCTCTTTCTTTTTGCTGCATAAGAAGAAAGAGCTAAAAGAGCCCAAACACGTCTAGCAACATTTTCGACGATTCGCAAGAATTCCAAAGGGGGCCCAAACTCAAAAGGAACATACCCAGATGCATTTTCCAAGGCAGGGCAAATGCATTCGCGCTTCTGCTTCTCTGCAAAACCACGAAAGACCTGAACCTGTGCCCGGACACAAAAACCAAAATATGACGCATTCTTCGCCCGTCACATTAGCACCACATCCGGTCGTCCACGTCGCTTGGTTGTTTGTGTTTCGTTGTAAACAGATCAAAACAAATTCCAAACATTTGTGTTTTGCGACCAACCACAACCACGATCCCACATGCACCCCGGGGCATGCCAAATACATTCTGCGTCGCCCGAAAAATCCATTTGGCAACGGTTTTGATCTGCTTACACGCTATCACGAAACACAGACAACCCAAGTGACGTGGACGACCAGAGGCTGTGCGAATGCAACGGGCGAAGAATGCGTTTTGGTTTTTTGTGTCCGGGCACGTGTTCAGGTCTATTGTGGTTTTGCAAAGAAGCGACTAAGCGTATGCATTCACTCGGCCTTGAAAAATGCGTCTGGGCATGTTCCTTTTGATCTTGGGCCCCTTTCGGAATTCTTGCGAATCGTCGAAAATGTTGCTAGACGTGTTTGGGCTCCTAAAGCTCCCCCCACCCCACCCCCCACCCCCTCCAAAAAAAAAAACAACAAAAAAGAACGACATACAAAAGAATGTTAAAATTAAATTCGATACTCCTTTTTTCGTGTAAAGGAAGCAGTAGGCCAGAAATCTCCACAGCTAACCTGGAAGTTGGAGAATTCTACTGGTAGAGTCCGCTCTGTGCTTATTTTGATGCTCTCAGATATTCAAGTCGAAACTAATTTCTTTCAGAATCCAAACTAATTCAAACTCGATTTCCGGTCCTCAAACTCTCTCTTTTCTGTTTTCAAAGGCTCTTCTTCCTCATGGGAGCGCTCTTCTCGGAAATGGCACATGTCGAGATGGGGCCGCGCACTCTCGCAGCACTGAGTGCGAGGAGGGTGGCGTGCCCGCCTGGGAATGAAAGCCAGGAGAAGGAAATTCGAGGGTGGGAAGTTAGACGCAGCACGGAAGGGGCAAGGGGGGTGGACGACGGCTTATTGCCTAGGGATCCGAGATGCCAGCTTTCAGAAATTCAGCCCTGAAAACTGGACCTTTGAAGCAAAGGAGACGCTGGGCGACCGCGCGGCGTAGCGCGCCGCCTCCCAGAGCCGCACCCGCAGCCGACCAAAGGGCCGGCCTGGCAAAATGCCGCTGAAATGCCGCTGAAATGCCGCTGAAATGCTGAGGAGCGGCTCTCTGAGGAGAGATTCTCTCTGAGATTCTCTGAGTTTCCAGACTGCACGCCACACATCTCAGACCAACAAAACAAGCCCAAAGCTCGGGAGAATTCATCCTCGGAACTCGGAACCCACAGCTAATAAGTGCTCTGAGCTTTGGGTGAGTCCAAGGAGTGCCCAGGGCTTTCTTCGTGAATTCTGGGGATCACCTGCCGGTGGCGGGTCGTCCGCCCGTCGCGGCACGCGGTCCACCATCTCCACCTCTCAATGTTCTCTCCATGGGGGGGAAAGCATCTCAAGAGGATTCGGAGAGAGCTTTGCTTCGGCGGCCGTGGTGTTGGCTTAGGCTCTTCCCCAAAGGGAAGTATGGTAAGTGGCTTCGGGGCACATGTGGCACACCTTGATTGTTGAGACGGTTGAAAAGGGTCTTACACGGTCTCGAGATTTATTTCGGAGCCTGCCGATCCCCCAGCGCGGTATCAGACATCGCTGCCAGGGTCAGCATGAAGGGGGGCCTCTGCGAAAATCAGGTGCCAGAGTCGCAGTGTCCTGTAGTATCCTGTTGTGACATGTTCTACGACGTTCTGAAGTGTTGGCGAATCTCCCTGGTTCTGTAGTCGGAACGAGGGGGCGTGCAACAGTTCTCAAGGTGCTCCGAAGCAGGGGTGCGGTTGTCAAAGATGGCACACAGCTGAGGCTGCTAAGGCTGCTAAGGCTGGCTAAGGGCTGGGCAAGTCTGCCAAGTGTAGCGGAATTGCTTCACCTGGATTTGTGATGGAATCAAGGCATTTGTCTCCCGAAGCATGCCAATAAACATTGTGGATCCACAAGGACGGGGGAAGTTTGTCCGCTGGCGATGGCCATCACCATGTTTTGACCTCACCCTCTCCGTCACATCCTGCAGCTCCAACAAGTCATCAACAGCCTTCATCAACAAATGAACGACACGGTAGCTATTTGCGACGTCGGGTTTAGTTTCGGTCAGTTCTGCGTATGCTTCGTCCTCACTTCTTTTCATCGCTTGCGGACGTCCCTTTCTTGCTCGCTGGCCTTTGCCATGTTTCACGTCCAAACTCACTTTCCGCCCCGTACTCAGCACGTTTGCCTGCTGAACGCCTCATTCCTGTGGTCAAGGGAGGAGGGTGGTGGAAATGGCTCATGTGCCCTAGAAAATGTTGCACGGTAACGGAGAAGGCGAAATACCATCAAATGATCATAAGAACCAAGTCCCGAATTTTTCTTCCGATAAGTCCCGAACCTCCATTGACGCCTCCCCGCCCGGTCTGCGGGTCGGCGCGCTGCACGCGGGACTCCTTGCAAGGGATGAAAACTTGGGAAACTCGAAATCCGAAAACTGCGAAAGATTGAACACATCTTGAACGAATCTTGAAAGCACATTCCTGACAAACGTAACAACAAAGAAGGTGGAAGCTGAAAGGTCCTTAAGCAAGCACGATCCGAAATCCACACAGCCCGGCTGCCTTCGGCCAGAGTCTCCGCTGCACCGTTGGCCTGTTCGCGACACGTTCCATGCCCCCAGAGCGCACAGGCCCCTCACTGGCTGCCTGTGAGCTCTCCACATGTCTCTAAACACTCTGCGAAGCTCCGACAAGAGGAGCACAAAAAGGCCGGCGGAGCCATCCAAACGGAGCACCAGCAAAGGCCTTAGCACACTGGGCAGCAGGCGAGCGGTCCGAGCGGTCCCCAAATGTACTTAAGCATGCTAAAGCCTTAGCAGCTTCTTGGGATTCACGGTGATTTTCGGCGACTAACGTTCAAACATTAAAGCTCGGGGTTTGCCGATGCAAGGACTGCTGCGGTTGGCCATTGAGAGTATATTCGTTTTAACATTTGTGGTACTCTGCCCTGCAGGTCTCGTGAAATAGCCTCAAGGAAAGTGGCATGGCCAGGGCGTAGCCGCACAGTGAAACACCGGTCGTACTCGGCTCCTGGCAGGTGCTGAGTCGATGACGTCGAACGCTGCCCGCCAAGCACTTGGAGCACTTTGGCTCCCTGGCCGGGCTGGTTGGGGGGGGGGGGTGTTTTTGGGGGGCAAGGCATGACCTCTCGTCTGGAAGAAGGGGTGAGCTGTACTGCACCAAGAACCCTCGCAAGTCATCGCCATGCGGGGGTTCTAGAATAGGGTATCAACTCGCAGGACAATTTGGGTGACGTAATTGTGTTCCTTACGCAGCATTAAACTAGCAGGTAGAACAGAACAGGGAAATAACCGTCCCACACAGAAGCTACTCCCGACGGGGGGCAGGATGCAGGGGGGGTATAGAGTCGAGGCTTTGGGTTGAGTCCGGTAACTGACTAAAACTTGTTTGGGTTTCGGGTGGGGGGGAAGGGGCCTTCCGAGAAGCTTTGGCAGCGCAGCCGGGCGGTTTCAAAACAGCTTGCAGACGGCCCGAGGCCGCGAACCTCAGAAGCTCAGAAGCTCGGGAGCCCAGCAGCTTAGGGGGCGGTTTTGGCTTTGGGCAGCTCGACCACTCAACTCACCTTCTGAGGGAACTTCGTCGAAGCAGGGTGCCACTACAAGCGGAGAGAGAGAGAGAGAGAGAGAGAGAGAGAGAGAGAGCGAGAGAGAGAGAGAGAGAGAGACAGAAAGACAGATTCCGGTCTTGAGACTTTTTGACAGCTGGCCCATGTCACTACCGCATGCCTTGTGCACTTCTTCGCCTCCCTCAGTTTTCCCGGAGCTCCCGACGGCACCGGCTTCCACGATGTGCCGGCAGCAGCGGCTTTTGTCCTAGCCAGCAGGCTCCGAAGCTTTTGGAGAAGAGAAAACCCCGCGCGCTTTCAGCAGCTGGGCAGTGTCCTTCATGCCCGCCGCATGGAAGGCGAAGCGCGCGTACCGGGGGTTGTTGGTCTGAGTGCCCCCTGCGTCCAGCACCTGCGGAACAAGCAAGGCAGACTTGACAGACTCCATCATAGGCTCCACCTAGACGCTACAAGTTTGCTTTACGTCTCACTGAATCTATCAGAGCAAGGGCCAAAGTTCATGAATGCATGCAGCTTCTCATCTCCGACTTGCATGGCCCCCTGTGCCTGCAGGTGCTCAGTCTCTCTTAGACGGGGGCCACCCTGCCAGCCTTAGATTCCTAGTCCAAAGGCATTGATGGCCAGGAAGCCAGGAAGCGATGTCCAAATAAAGCCCCAACAATCAGCCGACTCGACCCACTCAACAGACTTCACCGTTCAAGACCCTCGCCCTAAGGCTCGGTGAGAGAACAGGGAGCCGCTCGCAGTCTGAGGTCTGCGGCTGAACCACGGCGTCTCCGTTGCAGCCTCGGCCTCTTGGTTTGGGAGGGCCAGCGGGATTTCTTAGATTTCTTCTTTCGTTTTCTCTGTTTTATGTTGCTTCATTCTTGCACGCTTTGCCATCGCTCAGCTGCTCAGCTGCTCAGCTATGCCGGCTCGTGCACCTATAGTCGCGCTGCTCCAAATGGCCGCAACTCTCAGAAGCTGCGAATCCTTAAGAGGGATAGAAGAGCAATAAACATTATAAACATTGCATCTTGACAGCTCTGGTCTGCTTCGTTCTACTATCCCGTACTTCATGACAGAAAGGAGACAGTGCTTGAACGCTGCAAGCATGTTCGCTGCGTGAGAAGGTTCAGCAATGTTCAGCAGCACACCATCCACAAACCGCCCATGCCCGCAACATCAGCCTGAAAAATGAGGCAGTTAAGATGCATTCAACCCGCAGCTTGTGAAAGGTTCCGAAAGGTTCCGCTTGCTTCGGATGCGAAGCCGCTAAGCTTGAACTAAATGTGGTTTTTCAATGCAGCGTGGAGAGCACGGAACAGTGAGGCTCCTGCGACGCGCTTCCCGCCCAGAACATCGGGGCCTGTGCAACGGTGCAACTGCGCAGAGCACAGATGCGCAATTTGTAAGGCTTCGAGTCTGAAACTCTGAAGTTCTCTGAAGCTCAGCTGAGGCGTCACACTGTGCTCAGAGGGCGTGGCGGAATTCGCCCCACTTAGCCAGGCACCCGCAGAGGGCGCTCCTGGCAAGTCGACCAAGGAGCTTGGTCGTTCTCTCAGTTCTCTCTACATCTCATATGCAGGAACCCAGTGCAGATCCTAGCGATAAGCTGTGTCAGAAGCAAAGCTTCTGCAAGGCATAGCGAGGTTTCATGTCAGGTGCTGGGCCGCGTGCTGGTCCCAGAACTCGCCGAGATGAAACTTCTCGTCTCCTTCGTGCCAAACCTGCTACATTGAGCCGAGTCTCCCCATTGCTGCCCCACGGTTCTCAAGATGGTTCTCAAAGCCCCCTACTGTCCATGCAGACCATGACCATGAAATCAACAAATTCTTCCTCCTGCTGTCTGCAACTTGACTCTAGAGCAGAGTCTGTGAAGTTGGCGCCTTCTCCCAAAGCTCCCGCATCCTGAGGTGGATTTGTTAACCCCGGGTGCTCTCCAGTGGGGGGGGGGCTGCGTTTGGGCTTGGAATTGCTGATTGTCTGAGACTTCAAAGCCAGCGAGAATCGAAGGCCACAGGCCCTCGTGCTCTGAGCCCCGATCCATGCGGAGCGGACCTTGCAGAGCATGAGGCCCGTATTGAGCCAGTCCTAAGGGCAAGGGCTAGGGCCCTAGGGCGAGAGAGGAGAAGGAGGAGAACAACGGAGAACAACGGAGAACAACGGAGAACAACGAGCATCGCGTGAGCTTCGCATGAGCATCGACTCGCAGCCTGAAGAGCTCTGGGCCCGGCGCCAGGTCCGCCATGTCTTCCCCCAACACCAAGTCCTTCACGGGGAGAAAGGTCCTTGTGCACAACCTGTTGGGGATTGAACATCGGGCCCCCATTCTGGGGCTTTGAACCAGTGGTCCTTCTGCTCGTAGACAAATGCCTCTAAGGGCAAGCTGTGGTTGATAACCTGAAGATGGCTCTCAAGGTGTGAAGTTTCAGGTTCACGCTCTAGGCCGCTAGGGGTCAGGTAACCCGTGCGTGGCGCCAAAGCCGACAAAACAGGAGGTGAGGGTCCGGCAAAATCAAAAGCGATACACACATCCATCCAGAAGGAAACAGGCCTGTCACAGAAAATTCAGACTCATTCCTTTGCTTTCAGACTGTGGTAGGGGATGGGATAAAACGCGAGGAGACCCCGAAAGACAGAAAGAGAGAAAGACAGAAAGACAGAATGACAGAAAGAGAGAAAGAGAGAAAGAGAGAAAGAGAGAAAGAGAGAAAGAGAGAAAGAGAGAAAGAGAGAAAGAGAGAAAGAGAGAAAGAGAGAAAGATAGAAAGAGAGAAAGAGAGAAAGAGAGAAAGAGAGAAAGAGAGAAAGAGAGAAAGAGAGAAAGAGAGAAAGAGAGAAAGAGAGAAAGAGAGAAAGAGAGAAAGAGAGAAACACAGAAGGACAGAAGGACAGAAGGACAGAAGGACAGAAGGACAGAAGGACAGAAGGACAGAAGGACAGAAGGACAGAAGGACAGAAGGACAGAAGGACAGAAGGACAGAAGGACAGAAGGACAGAAGGACAGAGGACAGAAGGACAGAAGGACAGAAAGACAGAAGGACAGAAGGACAGAAGGACAGAAAGACAGAAAGACAGAAAGACAGAAAGACAGAAAGACAGAAAGACAGAAAGACAGAAAGACAGAAAGACAGAAAGACAGAAAGACCTACTGCGGAAAGAGGGGGCTTTGTTCAGTTCTTTCAGTTCCCACGTGGCAACAACGTTTGAAGCGGCTTGAGGCCACTTCCCTGCCTGACCAGCTGGGGCAACTGCACAAAACACATGCGCCGTGAGCATCATGGCAAAAGATTCGGTGTCCAACACCTCACAAAGAACCAAAACCCTATCATCAACTAACCCCCTGCAGCTGAGGGGCCATAAGATCTGCGTCAAACCACACCAGCCAGTCCGCCTTGGACAGCATGCTTCTGAAGAAGCATGTGCTCGGGGCAGGCCTACAGCCCACGTTTTCTCGGCTTCAGCATCGGCACGAGCAGGCTCCGAAAACAAAAACAGAACCATGTTGACCATGACCCGAGTAGCTACGTTTCACGACCATTCACTAGCGCAGAGTTTGCAAAGGGACTGAGTTCCCCGACTGACAAGAGCGCTTGACGCTCTTCGGAGCCTCACCAGAGGCAGTTTTGACACTTCGGGTCTTGGAGGCAAGTGGAGTCAAGTGGAGTTAAGTGGAGTTAGTTGGTCTACTTGCGAGGGCAGGCTTCAGACTTTAAATCACATGAGGAAAGCCAACTTCAGGAACCTCTCAGCCTTAGTCCCAACTCTTGTGAAGGTCCTCTTTTTGTGGAGGTTGCAACGTACAAACCGATTGGCCAATATCAAGGACGACCCACCCTTGACCCTCTCAACCCCGCTCCCCAGTTTAGGCAAGTTGCCAATCTTGGCCTCCAGCACTGAATTCCTTCCAGGCTCAGCTTAAAGGCTTAAAGCCCACCCAAGATTTGAAGATCTTTAAGATGATGAGCCCACCGCTTGAAGCCACACTTGATGCCACTCTTCATGCTTCTTGCGGCAAACACTGGAAACCCAACCCTGGCCCAAACGCAACCGGAAGAAGTCACGCAAGTCACCTTCGTCACTTATCAGTGTCCATCGGGTGCTTTATTGTGTTCTACTTGTATGCCCGTCACCACGAAAGCCTCAGGTCAACAAGACTTCCCCTTGAGTAGATCTGTGTAGACTTCCTGTAATGGCACCTGCACATGGGCTTGTGCAAAGAAGGAATCACCGGCTGCCATGCTTAGCCTAAATAAACTTTGAGAACGTGTACACCCCTCCGAACTTCTGGAATGGGGTTCGTAGCTCAGGGTGAGGCCGAATGCCCTCCGCGCCGAGGTAGCTGTAGAGCCAACGAAGCAAGGCAACCTCGCATGTCCCGTTCTGGGAGACAAGTGCTTAAGGGAGCGCGGGAAGTTTAGGAACTTCCGGGCTCCTCAAAGCCTATGGCTGCATGCTGCCGATTCGACGGATGTTCATGACTGACAAAACAACTGTTTTGGGCCACTATGCGCAGTTGTGGGGTTATTAAGCATGTCAAGGGTGCAAGGACTCGAAAGGGGCAACACCTGCAACGCAGCCAAACACCGGTACAGAGCGCCTTGGCCCATGCAAAATGTCGCCCCTCACAGATGGCCTCGAGAATCGCAGAAGGCTTCAGGCTGACAGTGGCAGCGAGCTGAACTTGGCTTCGTAGACGAACTGCTACATCTCACAGGTTCAACGCCCCCGCCTCCATCTCAAACTGTGACAGGACTATTGGGGTAAACCTGGCATAGTCGTGACCAACCGACTTCACGAATCCATGTCAAGGAGTGTCAAGAGCAGTCTTCGAAGCCTCTTGCGTTGAGGACTTCTTTGTTGGCTTCGAGTGTACGGTTTAAAGATGACTAAGGCCCTCTAGTGCCGTCTAGGTTTTTGTTCCTGTTGCTGCTGGCACAGGTGTTCCACAGTTGACAAGGCCAGGTAGCTCATGGTCGCGCGCCACTTAGGTTTGGACCCTTTGACTTACACTGCCAGATGACGGCATCCCACCTGTACCCGTGCCGTTCGCAGTACGCAGCGTTGATGGCAGCGCAGAGGTAGCCGACCTCAGAATTTGCGCTGCTCTGTACGGGGCGTTCTTGAAAATCCTGTGTTTCCACTGGATGCAAGCATGCCCAACCCCGTGACACCAGCATGACAGCGCAACCTACACTCCAAACTTCCAGGCACCTTCGTCTGCCTGAGTCTGCAACTGACGCTACCCGGTTCTACCCCGCAGCGGTTCAGCAAAGCCCGAGCAATCTCCGGAGAGCAAGCCCAGGCCTCATAGCGGTCGTTGAACAGAGCGACAGCTGCCACTGTGTGGGAGGACATCTCCCCAGCACCTTCGAAAAAAGGGACTTCTCAAGGTGGTAGTGGAGTGCTGCAGGGGGGGAGGGGGGGGTAAGTGTGTAAGTATGTAAGTTTATAAGTTAGCAAGCAAGCAAACAAGCTAGAAAGTACAAGACTATGTATATGTATATATTCAAAAATGACAGCATACTGGCTGACTTCCATGTGCCCATGGTACTTGGACAGCGGCAATGCCCCCCGTCCCCTCGCAGGGGGTCACTTCATTTCTACGCTTTCCAGAGCCGAGCACAGAAAACATCGTCGGCACGGCAAGAAGCACTGCACTACGGACAGATCCGAAGCAGAAAAGCTAGCATTACAAAAGGCCTTCGGAACTTGCACAAAGCTACTTGCCATGGATGCACACTGAACTAGGGGCACGGAGATGCCCAGATGCAAAAGGTGGTGTCAGGCGTCTGGCCGCATGCTTGGCAGAAAAATGACCTCATGGCCCAGATCCTCCATCTCGATCTCGGCTGGAGCTCGAGCTCGACTATCTTTTCCAAGCCCTCGTGAGCCAACTCATTGCCCTACTCATGACCCTACGCATCCAGCTGACTCCCCTCCTTGGCCAACAATCTTCGCCGAAAAAGAACTTGGCTCTCTGTCAGGGCTTCGCAACAAATCCGGAGGTGTAACGGAACTCCCAAGCTGCAAAGTGGTTTGGCCGGGTTTCGGCGAGGGTCTAGGCTTCGGCGTCTGGTCTCTTTTTTTGACCCGGCTCTGCAAGCTCCAAGCAAGCCTCAGAACATGGGCCCCATACTCCCAAGCTACACGGCACCAGAGAAGGGCGCAGTTTTCTGGGAGTTCTGAGAGGGTTTTGCTTTGACACTCATGGGGAGAGGTTCGACCGGTACAGTGAGTCTAGCATAAGGTGGTGCCGCGCAAGCTGCTTAAAGCTGAGATGTGAGGTGAGGCTCTCAACCAAACTCTAAACATTCCTCAATTGCAAGCAGCGTCGGAAATGAGCTCAGGCTGGCATGCAGTCATAAGAGTTCATAAGCCATACGTAAAGACTTGCGGGGAGCCCTGAGAGCAGCGTCCGCTTGGTAAAGTTGGGAAGGGCATGCTGCCGAAGTAAAAGCTGTCTGGCAAGTGGCACAAGACCTTGTCCTCCTTGTCCTCAACGTTTGTGGCCGAATTGGCGGCCTCGCCTACACACACACTTGGGTCCAAGCCCTGTCGAGACAAGGGGAAGGACATGGGCCTGGGGTTGAGTTCGTAGGAAAGCGCGCCATCACTGAGCGCATGGAATGTGCCTGGGCGAATTGGAGGGGCGGTGCAAGTGGCCAAGTTGGCCAAGCCCCCACCTCGACCCTCCAGCGGGTTCTGGCGCCCTTCATCTTCGCATCGACTGTGGAAGCTCTCTTCTGCGAAGCTCTCTTCTGCCTGTGAGGCCTGTGCCGTCTGTGACGTCTGAGCCTCCGCTCCGACTTCGGCTCGGACAGCGGTGACGGCCTGGAACCCCGCCTTTGCCGCCATGACGTGACCTGCATCTTTCTTGCCTCTGAAAGCGAACTTGACAACGGCATAGAAGGCAATCAAGCTGTACACCAGCAGCACCAGGGGTGACACAAGCCAGTGGATGAAGTTGCGAAAGAAACTGACATTCTCCTTTACGGTCATGTGGCGTATGGCACAACGGTCGATCACAAAGGCCACAGCGAAGACGGAGTACTGTAGAACCAGGGACACCAGCCCAGCATATCGAAGAAACTCATGGGGCCAAACTGATCCAGGAAGTGGGACTGCAGCTGCCGCGGTGAAAAGGCCGGCACAGCACAGTAGCACGGCATAGTAGACAAAGAACATGAGGAACCACCTCAGACCTGCAAAGAAGGGCCGCCCACGGTAGTGCGTGAGGAAATAGTGAAAGCTCTCTGAGGAGCCGATGATCCAGCGGCGAATCTGCCGCGCCCACTCGTCCACCTCCTAATCGCGCTCATTGCGAGAAAAAAACGCAAAAAAAACTGAGACAAGCTGTCCACAAGCGAAGCGAGAGACAGAGAGAGACGGAGAGAGACGGAGAGAGACGGAGAGAGACGGAGAGAGACGGAGAGAGACGGAGAGAGACGGAGAGAGACGGAGAGAGACGGAGAGAGACGGAGAGAGACGGAGAGAGACGGAGAGAGACGGAGAGAGACGGAGAGAGACGGAGAGAGACGGAGAGACGGAGAAGCACTGCGTGACACCGTGCGGCCACAACCGAAGATCAGTTGCTACCTGCAGCGGTCCTCGCAGAAACTGGTGCCGATGGTGGGCCCAGAAATGACCGGCACACGCAAGAGCTTTACGGGGATGCCTCGTCTTGCACTGCACATTACCCGCACCAAGAAGATGATGTCGTCCACGCTGTACCTGCAGCCAAGTTCTTGTTTTTTTCTGCTTTCAGTTCTCCTGCAGTGCTTCTGCTGGTCTTGGGAAGCCCCCTTTCTCAGAGACAGCCCAGGTGCCGAGGGTTGATGAAGCCTGCCTCCAGGCCCAGCTCCAGAGGGTAGGAGAAGACCGACATCGGGTTTCTCAGTTCGCACTTGTTCTGGGCGCTTAGAGTTGTTGGGCTTCTTGGGCTTCGGGATGCTTCGGGCTTTCGGGTTGGGCATGGTTGGGCATAGATGGGCATAGGCTAGGCATGGCTAGAGGCATGCTTGAGCTGTCTTTTTTGGGGGGGCTCGCACTAAGATAATGGTGTCCAGCTTCAAGTTGAAGGAGATCAGCCCGCCCAGCATCATCAGGGAGCGCATGATGCCAGTGATGCGATTGAAGAAGGGGCGCTGGTCCAAGTTCCAGTTGTAAAACAGGGGGCCCTGCCAAACACAGAGCTTCACTGGACTTCCCACAGGGTTCTCCTGGCTGTACGCCCCCTCTAGAACTTCAAAGTACCGAGGGCTGAATAATGTGTCGGTGTCGCACGTCGTGACGGTGTACGAGGTCTCCTGGTACTGCGGGTCCATCTGCGACACATGCCGGTGCGCCGTGCGCAAGGCAAAATTTTTATTGGAGCAGCCTCCAGGAATCTCCGTCTCCCATCGAATCGTATGCACTGAAATCAGGAGCTCCCCAAAGCGGCCCTGAAATGCCTGCTTGACAGTCTCGATCTTCATCTGCACGTCTGGGGTCTTCTTCTCAAATGCCACAACTACCACCAAGCGTTCTGGGTGCTGCTGGGACAGGAGTGATCCAAGGCAATCGAAGAGCACGTTGATTGGGTCCAGGTAACATGGGACGATCACAATGTGTCGGAAACGGGCTCGGCCATTCTCTTGAACATCAGGGGGCCTGTCCGGCAGAAGAGGCTCACGCGTCATCCGCCACATGTTCAGGACGGCGTTCCCAGCAATGAGGATCCACATCAAGCTGAAGAAAGCCATACCCGAGGCATTGATGTATGCCACAAAGTCTGGGAGGACAAAGTGCATCCAAATCGGCATGAAGCACAAGGTAACGACAATCAGTGTGTGGAGGAGCGTCCAGCGAAAGTATGTGTTGCCGAACTTCCCATCGTCGCTGGCTGGTTGCTCTCTGTATCGCGCGAGCGGTGCAGAAGACACCATGGCTTTTCTCAGAGCGGGCCGTTTAGAAAAGATACTTTTGCGCTGGATCACTGTGTATTTGGAATCTGCACGTGCTGGCACCGTTAGCTTGTGCAAAATGCCTGTCGCGGCTATGAAAAACCTGTACTGCCTACCTTCAGAGGGATCATTCCGAGCGGGCCCAGAAGCACCTCATCATAAAGATTTCTTAGGGAATGGGTTGAAAAACTTGCTTAACCCTTAGGAATGCTTGCTCATTGTGGAGCCTGAACATCACACAAAGCCGGCACGAACTAGCTGGCCAAATCGTTGCAAAGCTTCAAAGTTTTTTTGCCCTATGTTCCAAAATTCCAAAATTCCACACTGCTGGATTTCGAATTTGGGCAATCTTGGAAGTCTGGCCCTAAAACTATTGGAGGTTTGGAATCTAAGTGCCGCGTGGTGCCCCGGTTTGCCCTCCCTACCCCTCTAAGCCCCTAATGGGTTCAGGGCTTCCCCGACCCCGACCCTCCGGGCGGGTTGGGACTTTGCCGGGGCCCTCAGAGTGCTTGCCCCTCCCTTAATTCGAGCCCTTTGCCGGAACCCTAACCCTCGGTTTGCAAGTGCTTGGGTTCGGACCCACCTACGCTCAAAACCTTTGCCCCCCCCCCCCCCCCCCCCCCGGAACCCTAACCCTCCTTCATCGCGCCTTTGCCCAGCTCCGGCCTCTTCGTCTTGCGTCACCCCCTCCCACCTTCCTTTGTCCTCCCTCAACCTTGGTTTGCGAGTCCCGCCTTGTCCTGTCCTGCCTGAACCTCGTCCCGCCCCCCCCCCGGAACCCATTGGCCCGGCATCGCTGCCGCGGATTCTTTGCGACTCCAAAATGCTGGCAGGATAGGGCGGACAGGAATCTCCCGAGAAAACGAGTCGGAAGCAACCCTCCAGAGTAGGTTTTCACCCTAGACCCCAAAGCCTAAACAGCCTAAACCATAGCCATTTTAGAGGCCGGGTGCACTTCTAGATGTCTCTGGCTTGACTTCTTACGGCGCAGCGCCGTCACCCTTTTCCGCTGTCCGCTCCGTCCTTGGCGGGGCGAGCTCGGCCAGGGGAACTCCCAGCGGGAGCACAGGCCCTTCTCACCTAAACCTTCGAAGCACCGGCCACCAAACTCTCAAGACATCTCAAGACGAAAGCTGCCCCTATGCTGAGGCCCAGTGAGCTGAAAGCCCTGCATGAAATATAGCCGAGAGAGAACCTCTGAACTCTGGACTGCGAGCAGGCAGACACGCCATTAAGGGTTCAGCTGCCTGCTGGCCCATGTCAGCGCTTCCCCAACAAGCCAGCCCTCTTGAGCGCACGGTAGGAAAAGCCCGCCTGTCCAAGCCTTTTGGCCGAGAAGCCGGTGGCCTGCTTGACCTCCGCAGCAGAACAGCCAGCCTCCTTGAGTTCTGCTGCCGAAGCGCCGACCTCAAGCCCTTTGTCGCCACAGAAAGCCCTGTAAAGCACGAGCTCGAAACCAGCCTCCTGAAGCTCACGGTGCGTGAAAACCCTCGCGAGCTCTTCGAAGGGGAAGACCTCCTTGAGAACCTCTGCCGAAAATCCGGCCTCCTTAAGATCCCGAAGGGACGGGCGGTGGCTAGGGTGGGGAGGACTGCTCATCAGCTGTTTAAGCTGTTTAAGGTGTTCGGAGCTCGTACCCTTCGACACCTTTTCCAACTTGTCCGTATCATGCCTTCCACCCCATCCAGCCCTCAAGAGTTCCTTGGGCATAAAGCCAGCTTCTCTCAGCTCCTCGCCCGAATGGCCGAGATCCCAAAGCGATTTGGCCGAGTAGCCCGCCTCCCTGATATCCTTGAGAGTCTGCCCAGCATCCTTGAGCGGCAGGACTCCGAAACCCGAATCTTTGAGCTCCTTTATGCTGAAGCCACGGGATAAGAGCCAGCCGGCCACGAAACCCTTTCCTTTCAACACCTTGGCAGTCAAGTTGTGCCGCTGAAGGAGCTCCGCTCGCCACAGCGGCGGAGGGTACTCCTCTTGCTTCTCTGTCACAGCACCATCGGTGCCAACACGCTCGCACGTGAACTCTGTAATGCCCGACCAGCGCAGCTCAGCCGGACGGGAATTCCCTGCCAGGTCTTCGATCCTTCGCGAAAGTTTGGAAACCAAGCTGAGACAATCCATGTGAAAGCTAACCAGTTGGATCTTGCTGAGGGGGGGATTTGTGGCCAACGCTGCAAGCTCCACGTTCCAGAAAACGGTCTTTTGCATATCTTCTTCGCTTTTGTTGACGAGGATCAGCACAGGCTTGTCCCTCTCTATGCTCAGGAGGCTGCAGGAAGCCGTCTGCCAGAAGGTAAGGACGGTGACAAGGTAGTCGCAGGAGTCGAAGGGGCCCTCGGCACCACGGGGAAGCAATGCGCCGAGCTCCGTGTCTTCGCTAAGCTCCCCAGCTTCCTTCATCTTCTTCCAGTGAACTCGCTCTTCTTGGCTGATCCCCGACCATAGAAGCTTCACGCGCTGCTTGACCCGAAAGAGACGGGAGCCAATGCTGCCCGTACCAAAAGGGAAGCCACTCACGAAAAGCTGGGCAGAGATCACCTCGCTCAGGTGCAGGGTGTGCAGGCTGTGGATCCAATAGCCATGCAGCGAAAGATTGGCGGTCCAGTTCTGGATTGCTCCAAAGGCTTGGGACAGCTGCGCTTTGCACTGAGCTTTGCTGTGATTGCTGCTGTTACTTGGGATGGCCGATGTGAGGAAATTATCCAGCAACCTCTTCTCGCCGCTGGTGCAGTCGCCTGGGATGGCTGTAATCTTGGAGTCCTTGACACACTGCTCGACTGAGATACGCTTGCAGCACCGCTCCGGCTCATAGACTTCAACCTTGGCTCTCATGGACTTTAACCTTGGTTCTTCCTATCAGCTTTCCATTTAGGCTGAAGAGGCTCACCTGGCTACATGTTCGAGTTTGCGTGCTTTTTTCCTTGCCAGTCCGCCGCCCGCGTGCCGTCGATGCCCTTCTCGTCTACGTCACAGCGGCCCAGCTTGCAGCAACAAGCACTCTTCTGGTCCACCTAACAGCGACTTCGGATTACAAGCCCCTTCCCTGCCTCTAGGCGGAAATCTGCACCCCAGGCATTCTCCTGCCTCTGCTGCTCTGTGTTTTGAGCTTTGCGCGTCATCCCCAGAGTCCAGCCGTGTCGTCCTTGCCACCCAGGCAGTTCTGCAATATCTGTTCCAAAAATTATTTTACTTCGAACATCCCCACCCTTCAGGGACACTCTGGGGCTGGGCACTCCGGGGTTGGGCTCTCCAGGGAGACTCTGGGGTTGGGCACTTCAGGGAGACTCTGGGTGATCACTCCAGGGAGACTCTGGGGTAGGGCCTCTGGGGTTGGGCACTCCAGGGAGACTCTGGGGTTCAGCACTCCAGGCATGCGCGAGGGAGACTCTGGGGTTGAGCACTCCAGGACACTCTATATTTAAAAGCACTCCAGGGACACTTTGGGGTTGGGCACTCCAGGGACGAGCGAGGCGTAGAACGGGCGAGGAGAAGAGTTCCGGACGAGGAGAAGGAGAAGAGTTGAGTTTAAAATCTAACAACCCCACACCGAGGGTGGGGAAAAAGAATATTACTCGAACTATGACGAACTGCAACTAGTGCTGAAGCACTGCCATTACAATTATTGTCACTTCTTCTCTGATTGATATGGTGAATAATAGAACGTGAGTATGGACGAGCTGACAACCCCATCATGCGAAGATGCCCTAAGCCCCTAAACTTCAGTGCTGGGCCAATCGAACAGAGCAGGTTCGTATCCCGACCTCCAGCTCCTTTTTTTGGGTCTAGGGTTTAGGGGTTTTATGGGGACCGATGTTAAATCTACCCCCAGGTGTGAACTTGGCCCGAAAGGAATATAAAGGCCCCGGGTTCCAGGTTTTGCTTTGAGCTCCGATTTCACGGCTGAAAGGCGAGATCCAGGGCTTAGGGTTTCGGGTTTTCGGAGCCCACCCCACCCTTGCTCTCACAAACAAGTTGGGACTCCCAACACAACCCAAAGCTCGATCTTACAGCGAACCCCTTCAAGGCCCAAGAGATGCAGGTACATGGATGCTGAGGGCTTGACGGGGAGAGGGGCGGGCTTACTAGTCCATGTTAGGGCGCAGGCTTAGCCCTCAGAACAGCTGCTTTGATCCTCAAACGTGTGCATCAGCCACTGTTTAAAAGGGGTTTCTCTGGGGACAGGCCTACAAGCCCTCTAAAGCCTCAACGTGTTGTTCATGGCCCTTGTTTCGGATTTGGGGGAAGGGGGAGGATACAAGGAGCTCCGAGATGGAACGACTGAACAACTCCTCTTTCAGAAAACGCACCAGGGGCTCCTGTTTTCTGCAGCTTCGAGCTCCTCGAGCCTCTCGATCTCGCGCAGGGCCTCATTCAAGGCTTCAACGTGCTTCGCCTGGCGGGAGGCTGCCCGGCGCGTAGCCTGTGACTCATTGGCTTAGCTCCTGGAAGACGATCTAAAGATGCCTAAGGTCTTAAGACCCGGACTCGCTGCATAATCGGAATCCATGGAGACACCCCTAAGCCCTCAACCCCAAACCCTAAAACCCCAAGCCTGGTCCAGCCCGGAGCCTGTTTGCCTCAGGGCCGCGCCAAGCGACAAGAGAAGGATGAGCAATGGTATGGACATTGCTACAAGGCTCCCGGACAGAGTAAGTAGGGCTTAGGGTTTAGGTTTTAGGGTTTGGGGTTTAGGGTTTAGGGTTTAGTTTAGGGTTCAGGGTTCAGGGTTCAGGGTTCAGGGTTCAGGGTTCAGGGTTCAGGGTTCAGGGTTTAGGGTTCAGGGTTCAGGGTTCAGGGTTCAGGGTTCAGGGTTCAGGGTTCAGGGTTCAGGGTTCAGGGTTCAGGGTTCAGGGTTCAGGGTTCAGGGTTCAGGGTTCAGGGTTCAGGGTTCAGGGTTCAGGGTTCAAGGGTTTAGGGTTTAGGGTTTAGGGTTGAGGGTTTGGGGTTTAGGGTTTAGGGTTTTTAGGGTTTATTCTTCTCTATAAGGAATCTTGATTGGCAAACTGCTGCGGCACAGGCTGCCCGAATCACGGCAAGACTTCTCAAGCTTAATCCCTTCCACCGAATATTAAAGGCCCCCCCCCTCCCCCCCCCCTTGTATAAAACCCCCAAAGGGTTTTTAGTATTAGGGGGGTTGGTATCGTTCGTCCACAAAACCAGCCCGTCCTATTAGACAGCTCGCAGACAGCTAAGTGCTATCTACTAGGACGGAATGACTGGGAGGGAAGGGACGGCTGGGAAGGAAGGGAGGGAAGGGAGCTTCAAGATGTTGGTTGGTTTGAGGGTTTAAGGAAAACCTTAAGCCCTAAAGGTTCAGGTTTGGGAAAGGTTTAAGGCTTCCGACCCCCCCCCCTAAACCCCCCCTCTCTCTGTAGAGGTTCCAAGAAATAGTGACAGGCACGGGATCGGGATTTGGGGCCACGGTTCTTGTTTATGTCGGGGGGGGGTACTAATATTAGGGGGAAGGGATGACAGATTCTGGAACTGCAGGAGGTTGAGGGTTGAGAGTTGAGGGTCGAGGTAGGTTTTGGTCGAAGAGACCAGTGGAGCATTGCACATCCCTTGTTTTTGGCAAGGAGGGGCGAACCTCGGCCACCCGAGAGGGGGGGACGCAGCTGCGCTGCTGCGGACTGCTCCATTCGCTTTCGGAGGGAGCGCACATGGGCGCACTGCTTCGCAGGGCACCGACCTTTGTTTAAAAGAATGCAAGCTGCACCTAGGCTACATCTTGCCACCCAGCGACAAGACCCCCCAACACGCAAGAGCTTCTCACTGAAGCTCCACCTCCCTCGCAGGTGCCATGCTGCGGGATCCTTGGTACGGCTGATGCGGCTAATGTAGACTGCGCAGCCCTGAAGACGCTGGTGTGAGGCTCTTCTAGATGCAAAAGATTCTTAACTCGGATCGAATGTGAAGGCCACGAAGAAATGAGCTGACACAGATGCTTAACCGGCTTAGCCTTTGTGAGGCCTCCAACCCAGTCTCTCAGCCCCCGGAGAAAAAAAGTCAAAAGAAATCCATCACCAGGCCAAAACTGTCAGATCGTCGCCATCCTCCTGCACAGCAGCCTCATCCCTCAATATCCCTCATCCCTGTCCCCCGCCTCCTCCCCGCCTCCTCCCCGCCTCCTCCCCGCCTCCTCCTCCACTGTAAAAAAAATATGACAGCCGAGCTGCTGGGCCACCAGCTCGTTCTGGGCTCACGCCCCTCGAACTCACTAAACTCGCCACCCTCGTGCAGCGGCGTGCCGACCTCTTTTCATTTTTCGAGGCGAAGCGGGGAGATGCACGAATCTAAAGACGATCCGGGTTTAGGCTCCCTTTTCTCCCTTTTCTTAGCTTCTTCAGACCATTTCAGACCATGTTCTTTTGTGATGTACTGGCACTGGCCTCGCCGACCATGTCCGAGCGCCGGGCGCGCCTGCACGCCCGCAAAACCAGGAGGCACGGTAGGCACGGGAGGACAAGCAGCAGCGGTAGCCATGGCGGCAATCTGTCCAGCAACGACGACACTTGCTTCTTCATGCTTGGCTGCCGCCGCTCATGCGCTTGCTCCGGTGAACTCGGCAGCGCCAGTCCTGGTGCTGAAGCCAC